TTGCAGACTTTGGCTCTGTTTGTATGTGGGAAAAATTATTTGTATGAAACAAGCAAAGTATATGAAGCTAGGAGCTTGTAACTTCGGTGATATATCCACAGTACCATTCTTTAAACTGGCTATTTTCAAAACATGGATGGTAAGTATAGAGGTTTTTTGCTGACATGACAACACTGAGTTTGTTTTTAGTACTAACAGTTCACTGGCATTAGAGAATATTTCAAGCTTGGCTTAACAAGTTTAGCTTTCATTGCTCACTAAATGTGTAATTAAATTACAAAGTCTTCTCATCTGTTTTGAACTTAAATTATCGCTGGTTTTAACTTTCCTTTCACACATGACTTTTTCAGGATTGCAGGATGTGTGAAAACGGTTTACTGTAGCCATATGCTTGTTGGCACAGAACTCCAGGATGTTTCAGTACGTTTCAAGCATGAGTTGTGTGATATGTGGTTTTTCTTTTACAAAAGCTGTGTTGATTTCTTGCCTAGGAACTACTGTCTGCTCGTGTTTCCGCAGATTCTGCTGCAGAATCATTTCTTGTGGTTGCACTGGGAAGGGATCAGGTTTGCAGGAGGGTGGCTCACCCAGATCTCTCCTGGCTCTTTGCATCTAACCTGTGCTGTGTTCTGGTGTTGTAAATCTAACTTGCTTGATACCTGCAGATTGAATCACTTTATTCAGAGTTTGCTGTCCTGGCTGGGTGTGTTTGGTGCAAAAAGATTCCTGTTATCTGTGGGAAGGACACAGCTAAGAAGTCAATTGTCCCTTTATCAGCTTGCTGGCCACCTCATTAGAAGCTCCTGGGTCAGCAGGGCTGGTCTATCATTTCTCTGCAGACAATAATGCTAAATGTGTTTGTTTAGATCAACGTGGAAAAACCCCTCTGAGCTGCCTGTGCTGCGTCTGTGTGCCCTGTGCTCTGTAGTATAATCAGCTGTGTGACAGTGCAATGATCTGGGGAACACCCACAGTCTGGCTGGACTTTGCCTACCCTGTCTTTCGTGGGAATGTAGCTGCTTTCATTAACTTTCCTAACTGACTTGTTTGATCCTATTGCAGTCTGTTCCTGAATTTAGGGAGAGAACATCTACTGGGTTCCTCCCATCCACAAACCAAATGCCTTTCTATTTTGCTGGTTTGCTCTGCGTTGGTTCTCAGTGGTTTTTAGCCGAGCAGGTCCAAGGTCTGTTGTTTTTAATGCCCTGAAGATTATCCAAAGTTAGTATTTGAGACATGCCTGGTCCTGCAAGTGCACTGCTACTCTTGCCTTAAGAGAATAGTGCAAATTTCTGCCATCATCCCCTCTTCTGCTCTCAGGAGGGATTAAATTCTGGGAATTAAGGCACTTGGACAGTTGACTTCAGACTGTTTGTTTCTGTTTGTATGACTTTTGCAAGGAATCAAAGGCATCTTAGTTCTAGAGATTCAAGTAAGCCCTGCAGAGAGTTTTCCCAAGACCTTGAGTTTCACAGAACCACAGAATGGTTGGGGTTGGAAGGGGCCTTAAAGCTCATCTTGTTCCAACCCCCTGCCATGGGCAGGGACACCTTCCACTAGACCAGGTTGCTCCAAGTCCCACCCAACGTGGCTTTGAACACAGTTTCTCTGGGCAACCTGTGCCTCACCACTCTCATCCACATTAGCTGATGAGGATACTTACCTTGCTTTTCAAAATCCAATGATGTGAATTAGTTTTTCTCTAGATGTGATGAAAAAAGACCAAATCAAGTCTGATTTATACACCCAACTGAAAGGGGTCTGACTGATGTTGGGGGGGTGGCTGTAACTGTACCCCAGGCAGTGTGCTGAGCAGGAGGTGGTGATCCATGACACTGGTTCAATCACCATCAGCCCTTCCTGTGGTCCCCAGCGTGATGATGGTCCATTTCTGCAGCTGAAGCACCAACACCTTGTGCCTCCTGGAGCCTGGGTAGTTTAGGTGAGCTGCTTGCTTGCTGTATAGTTTTGACCTAGTTTATCCTGCTGCCCAAGCAGAGAGATGTAGAAAGGGATGGATGACTGTTGTGGCTTGTTTCAGCAAGCTGATATCTGGTGGGTGGGAAAAGGCAGTTTTAAACACAGCGGTGTTGATGACTTCAGTGTGGGGGTGATATGAGTTTATACAAACCTTTGAATTTCTCTGTGGAGTTCACAATAATAATGCACTGGGATTTGTGGCTGTTTGTGGTTGAATGGAAGGAAATGCTTTTTCTGTTCAGGTTATAGCTGGTACTTGTTCTAAACTCTGCTTTTCCTGGGAGGTAGGAAGTGGTGTTCATAGTCCGGGATGTGAGTGTCAGTGCGTGAAGGAGTTTGGAGAGCTTTTTAGAGAACTGCAGAGGGAGGCAATATATTCCCACTGAGGCTGCTAAGCAGCAAAAGCTTCTGTGAGCCCAGAGGCACATATACTTTTTGTAAAGGCTGTTTTTAATCCTTCAGTTCGGAGATGTAAGAGGAATCCTTCTCCCTGGCTATTCGGTGGAATGTCCTCACCTTCAGCTTCCTCTCCTAAAATGCCTTGACTAGCATGTGGTGCTGGGCTGGGCTGCTCTCCTCCTTCCCCCTGCCCCTGGGGTCCTCTGAGCATCCGTGTTCCTCTAGCTCACCATGTGGGGCTGACACAATGCAGCTTTTCTTGCTCTTCAACCTCTCTCAGCTGTAATTTGAAACTTACGTTTTTTTCCTGACTCTCACCACACAGGCGGATTGTTCTGAAAGTGCTCCTGTTGGGAAGGACAGAGGGCCACAGGCTGTCTCCTCAGCAAGGCAGGATTAGTGTGGGGTGCTCTGGGAAGAATTTTTTCCCACTTGGAACTCAGCCCTTCAGCTTATCAGACAAAAGATAAAAGGATTGTTTTTCTCGTTTTGGTTTACTTAGAAATGGAGAAGCAGGTCAGTATTGCCACTGAACCCACCATTCCTACAATTGCAGTGGTAAGAGGAAAAAGGATCACAGCCTTTAGGTAGCAGGGGGTCATCTCGTTGAACACTGAAAGGATTATTAACTAGATCTTATGCCTTGCATATTTAAGTATTGCACTGTGAATGAATGAAGTGCTAAAGTTAGTTAAGGTCCCATTCGAATTCTGTTACTCTTCTGAGAGGAATAAGGCTCCATTCCCCAGAGCTGAGGTTTGCTGCAGAGCACAGGGAAGGCTGGTATTTCAGTGTGTAGTATTTTATTCTTGTGTATTTCAAGAAAAGCTTGTTTAAGCTTCCCAAGTTGCTGTTATCTCCTTGGGCTCATTTTTCCAGAAAAACCCTCAGTTTTAATCTTTGGTGGATCTGAAGCAAAGGTTACCAGGTTGGAGGATGCAAAAATAACTGAAATGACCCAGAAGGGTTATGGGGGAGTTCTCTCTGGCCCTTACAAATTCTTCTACCTGCAAATGTGTTAGTAAGTCCTGTTCTCTAGAGAAGAATTCCACTGCTAGCCTATATATTTTTATAAAGCAACTATCCTTGACTAAAAGACTGAGACAGCAACTTCACTGGAGGACATTCTACTTCAGCTTTTGAAATTACCTTAGCCTAAAACCTTTGCCTGTTGCTGAATGATACAGGATGGATGCAGAAAATTAAGTAAACGCACCTTGTAAGTCATGATAGTGTTGGTCTCAGGGGGTACTTTAAAATAGAGCAGTTTGGATGGCATCTTAGTTTTCAGTTGAGGGAATCAGTTCAAATCAGTTCTGCAGTCTGAGGATAACCAGCAGGCATCTGCTAGCCTTAAAAAAAAAAAAAAAGCTGATATCCTAATTTTCAAATTTGTTATTACTTTGGGAGATATGATTTTAAATAGTGTCAGTCTGACTAAACTGCAGTTAATTACTGGAGTCCTTCAGGTACCATTTTTTATGTTCAAAGTGAAGAGGTGATTTCTGCCACTTCTGCTATACAAAATAAAAGTGCTTTAGTAAATAATGGCTGTAATTAAGAACTTGGAAACATTTTCCATGCTTGCTTTTCTCACTTGTGTCAGTGCTCTCTGAAGCAGCAATGGTGCAAGTGTTGGTGTAGCACATTGTGCAGAGAAACTCTGCTTGCTTCCGAAAGGGATGAAATACTGGTTCTCTTACCAGATACCTGAGCTCTAACATGTTAATGTCAGTGATGTGTTTAAGCTTTGAGTGTCTTGTGACTCTTAAAGCATGTCTGGCATCTTAAATATCAGTGGAAGCAGAGACTTTGTGACTCAGGGTTGATTTTTTTTTTTTTTTAATGTGGATGTGACCACCAGGTGATTTTGTCCTGCCTTTGTGCTGTTCTGCTGTGGAGAGGAGATACAGATTTGTATTGATTAACCTTTTTCAAGGAACTCTTCATTGTGAGAGAGCCACTCAGGTTGAAAGGAGGGATGGGATGGTTTGTACCCAGAGTTCTTTCCAAAGGAGCTCCCTGGGAGAATATAGTGAATATTTTGAAATGATGTGTGAACATTGGATGTTACCAGTTTCTCATAGCTGAAGGTGTAGATCTCAGGGCTGCCTCAAACCAACTCCTTTATGTGCAGCTGAAATAAAAGACATTGCTTCTCAAATGGGGAATATGAACGTTTGGGTCTGGGGGAGGGAAGTGAGTCCTACCTTTCTCCTTCAGTTGTAGGCATCATACTTATGTTTCTTTAAAACTCTGCTACTGCATCTTTATTTTCCCACAGATGCTTTTCTCCCTTCTTACTTCAGGCAACTGGGGCAAGTGCCAGTGCATTCATTATGTTTTTGCAGCATCTACATAAATGCTGCTACTCTTGTGCTATTTGTGTTCTGTAGAGTTAAGACAGCATTGTGTCTAAAATACCTGTTAGTCTGTCTTTTTGGTAATTCAGTGTCATCACTCTTTATATGCAGCTTTTAAAATTTCCTGTTGATTGTCTCAAAATGTTTCTTACAGTGGAAAGGAGATGACTGTAAAGAGTTTCTGTAAGTTTAAATTCTTCTCTCTATTGAATGCATCACATCAGTAGTGAACTGACACTCCTTTTTTTCTCCTTTCAGCCAGATAATGAAATCTCTTCAGACTGCAATCATGTAAGTATTGCTTTGTTTTATTCAGTCTCTTTCTTTGGCATTTGCACCTCATATCCCTTATCAACCTCTGAGGTATTTTGCATAGTTTGGTACTTTGCAAAAGGTATTAATCAGGACACATTGGGGTCTCTATACTGGCCTATGGAGGAAGAATACAAGGTGACTTCTTTAACCCGATATAGTCACTGTGGTCTTGCTGGAGATTTCAGAGTGGAACATATTTAAGAGCTTTATAAACTGTACTTGTGTCTCAGGGGAGGATAGCAGACATCTTTCCTGTTTTATGGCTGGGGGGTGGTTCCCGTGAGTTACTGGGAGCAGCGTGATGTGCTCCTTTTGGAAAAGATGTGAGCAGTGCTGAATTTAAATTCTTAATTTCAACTGTTGACACCTTCTGTATTACTTTCACAGCTGCTAAATTCTTAGACTCACTTGGAAAATGCTGTGGGGGTGCGATATTTAGAAGCAGTTTGAGACAGTTGGCTGGTTTTAGAACAGATTTCCTCTCAGCACTGTGTTTAACAGTGAGCAAACTATTAGCCAGTTTTCAGGCTGTCAAGCTGACTCTTCAAATCCCAAGACTCAAAAAAAAAAAAAAAAAAAAGAGAATAAAAAAAATCATTGCTAAGGTTGGCATTATTAGTTTCCTTTGGTTTCTCTCATTTGCACTCTGTTGGCATACACCACATCAAGATCCCTAATTGCTTGGTTAGCCCTGAACACAGACAGACAAGTGCATGCCTCAATGACACTCTTGATTTTGGATGCTTGAGAAGCTGCATTTTGCTTTATTATTAGAAGATGTATTCCAGAGATGAAACCTGGCCATGCTGTACAACTAGTAATTTCCAACTGTGTTTATAAATTAACCTTTAGTACTGCTCTGCCTGACTTCATTGGCAGCTGTAATTCTCTGTTGTGCAGGGTTGGATCAGATGAAGGGCACAACGTGTTTCTGTTTAAGTCTTTTTGAAAAAGCGAAAAACTCCAGTAATTAAAACGTATCTGCCTGACATTTAAGTGTGCCAACAGAGACTACCTGAGTGAACTAAAATTGAGAATTCTAGAAATCAAAGCTGGACCTTTCTTCTGCTGGATTAAATGACAGCACCTCTGCCACAAGGCAAATGTTGGGTGCATGTGGATTATGGAAGCCATTCACAAATAGGAAGTGTGGGCAAAGTCTCATTTTCCCAGGCAGAAGTTGAAGGGAGGGTGATAAAAACCTAGACTACAGAGAAGTGTCTCGTGTCCAAATGTTTTCTTTGCCTCTCTGTGCAGTCTTTGATCGCACAACTGCTGATGATCCCCCTGGAAAATACTGCCTAGTGCTACAATCTGGAGTTTTAAGCTGCAAGTTTCACTTTCCTTCTATCTGTGGGAAGGTTCATTTGGACAGCAGCTCATTTTGAGACTCTCCAAATGCAGAGATGTATCCTCATCTTGTGCCCTCATTCTTGTAGTTCTGTTTCTAGCTGGGAGAGGCCTTACAGCACTCTGTGAGGACAGGATCCCTCTTGATTCACTTTTATCTATTAAACCTCTATATTTACAGCTTACGTCATCTGAAACACCTTAGTTTTCCATCATCTCCTTTTCAATTTTTCACAGCTATAAAACCATGATTATAAGTATGGAAGGTGGTGCAGTTATGTTTATTCTGATTTTGGTTCTCTCTCTGTACTTCCATCCTCCTGGAGCTGATGTGAAACTGCTTCCCTCGTGTTTTCCCAGTATTTTGTGTATAATTGAAATGTCAAAATAGAAGTTTGGTCAAACTTTTATCTTCTTGATACTAGTTTGATTTTTGTCACAAAGGCACAGTCTTTGAAGTGAATTTTTAAAGGTATTTATTCTTCAAGATGTTAAAAAATTTTTAAATGCAACTTAAGTTGCTAGGAAAGCAGGTAAGGTAATAGAGCTCTCAGGCAACATCTCAGCTATTTATTTGCTGAGGTTTTGTCATCTTACCCTGTATTTTCACTTTGTGGTGCCTCAGGAGGATGTCTGGGATGTGTATAATCCACAGGGTGTGGCTTGCCTAAGGTTGCTTCTTGCACAGTGGCCCAATGCATTGAGGCTCCTTCATGAGCTCGTTGCTGGCTCCTGGAAGAACAGTCATCCTTACCCAAGGTGTTCTGCACTCTGAGCTCTAATGTGTTGTGCTTAGCAAGAGAGAGAACCTCCCCTAGCTTTGAAATATATCTGCATCCAAAAATTGTCTGGTTGCAGCCCCTCACAGAAGGCTCAAGCTGTGTTATCTCCTGCCTTTTTTGCTCATTTTCTAATCAGGTGTTCAGTATGAAATTTGCTCATATTGAGGACTTCATTTTTTAGATCATTTGCATCAGGCACAGAAAGGTGTGGTGGGCTAAAGACATTGCTAAATATGCAGCAGGTAGCAAGTTATGGCTTTCATTGTTTTATCCTTTCGGTTATTAAGTAGTCTCCATGCAATATATATCCTTTTAATGAGTCAGCTCGTGACCTTACAGAGATTTCTGACAGCCTGAATTTATTCAGGATGAGAAAATTACTGCAGGAATGAAGGGACCAAGTTGTTGTCAAGGAGACTTTACACTGATCGTTGCACTGTAAAAGGATGATGATACAGATTGGGTATAAATGATGTTTCATTGTTTTCTGAAGCAAAATGTTTGTCATTCCCAATGGGAAGCTCTTAAACCCCCTTTCTACAAATGCTGTCTTCATAGCTCTTGTGGAACTACAAGCTGAACCTGACAACAGATCCGAAGTTCGAGTCCGTGGCCAGAGAAGTCTGCAAGTCCACTATTGCCGAGGTAAGGCAGGGAAAGGCACGGCTGCTGTTGGGCACTGAGGCTTCTTCATTTCTTTGTGATAAAGAATTAGGGTGTGAATAATGATTTGGGGTTGGGGAAGCTCTAGTCTCATATGCAAGATTGCTACCTGTAATTAATTCAGTCCCCTTGCTGAAGAAGCCTTAGTGGTACCAGGCAAAGGGGTGGCAGAAAGAAATGCTGAACTAACAACCCATCAGCTCCTACCAGAACTTCTGTCAGGAATCTGTTGTGGATTGGATTTGTCCCCTCTTTGTCAAGTGTTTGACAATTGTAACAGTGTTGGTGTAGCAGGGGTTCTGTGAATTTAGCCTAAGGCTGATTTTGGACTGTGTCATGCTGGCAGAAAGGAGAACTACATAGGCAGCAAATGATGAATCAACTTCTTTTACTTCAAGGTTCAAAGTGTAGTTACTCCAAGGAGGCTCTGTTGGGAACAACTTCTTTTTAGGTTGCACTAGGAGGTGATGCTCTGTACCTCAAGCATCAACATTCCTTGGTCCAGCTTCAAAGATGACTTGATCAATCATTTCTTCCTTGTGCTCATGCTGGAGCTCTCGAGGCTGTGCACTCAGCCACGCAGGCACTGGATGAGCTGAGCTCTCTTCCCTCTGTTTGTGTTGGTTTTCAGCTAGACAGGAAGCAGTGGAAGCAAAGCTCTCTGCAGCAGGACAGGCTTCAGCTGACTTAATTCAGTCATTAAGGCATGCTCTGAAAAACATTATTAGTATATCCACTAATATAATTAAATGTAGCCATAAACTTGTGTTTTTAAAAAAATTCAGTCTGCTCTAGTGTAAATCGTTTAGTGTAAGGAGAGATCAAGAAAATAGTTATTACAAGAAGGCTAGAAGATGAAACAGTGGAAGGAATCAGCTTGCATCAAAGGGCTGTGCTGTGTTTGGAGTTTGGTCGTTCCCAAAAGCAAACGCCGCCAAATCTGTTGGATCCCACTTTTTTGCGATCATAGAAAAGATTGTATTTTTCTGGTTTATGTCATATGGCTGCTGCAGAATTTTTACAACCAAGGCATTCTTGAAAATGCTCTTTTAACAGTCTGTTTAATTACCACTTCTGTGCAGGGGCAGTCTGGCATTGCTGTAAACGATGCCCTCTAAATCTGGGATATGTCTAAAAGCAGTGGGAAGAATGTACAGAATTTTAGCTGTACATTAACCACAAGTGTTCCTCTTGTAATTGTGGTGACTCATGACATAAACTACCAGTATTCTGCCATTTCATGAGTAATTTTTAGTTAAAGAAATAAAGTTAGATAAGAAAAATAACCATATGTGTTTGATCTGGTGTTTAATACCGAGACAGGTGCATAAACCATTCCACTAATATTTTTTAAAGCTATTTCTACAACATTCTTTAAACATAGTGGGCATATACTGCTCACATATAGTATTAACCTACTAATATTTTCCTTTAATTCCCACTAACAGGTAGGTGGTTTTTTTGCTGGGTGACTGAGCTCTGATTTTAAGTATTGCTTTGCATTAAGAACAGAATACAGCTGGAAGAGCAATTTCTAGTCATTTGGGAAATGGTGACTGCCCCAACTGGGTATGTTCTGAAAAGTGTACCTTTTAATTTTATCAGCTAAATACAGATTGAAATTTCAACTCTCTCTTTCCCCCCCCACTCAGCTGGAGTGGTTTTTATAAGTTCTGGCAAGAGCTTTAACCTGGAATGAAAGTTGGCTACCAGATAACAGTGGTTGCTTCAGAAGTGGCCTGGCAATAACATGATCACTTGGTCTTTTCTGCAGTTCACTGGCTCAGGCCATGGAGCTCTGGGGCTGTTTCCAAAGCCAGGCTCTTCCAAAAACAGCATGTTGCCATTGTGTGCTGGTTTGGCTCACAGTACTTGAGCTGAAGCAGGGCCAAACCAAAGATGCAGCTTTCTCAGAGAGCACTTGCTCAACTCTCTCCCCTTCACCCTGCAATGAATCACATGTGTTTTCACTTCAAAATATATTTTATGCCTTGTCTATTACAATTACATTGACCTTAGTAACTGTGTTTTTCTAATAGCTATTTAGATTAAATATAAAATGTTTTACCAGCTTCCATCTGCCTTCAAGTAATGATGTTTAAAATGCTGTATGTTTTATTTGTTACATAGAAAGTAATGGCCTCATAAGCTGAGGCAGAGATCTGTTTTATTCATCTAGTCTGACCTGTGTGAGTCTGTCACAGGGTGCCCTAAGTTATTCTTGCTTGAATTAGAATATATCTTCCTAGAGACAGCTCTCCATTTTTTAAAATTCCCAATATAAATATTCCAGCTTGGTATTTGAGAACCCATAAAATGGTTCCCTGCCTGTTCCCTTAGCCCTGCTCTCGCTTGTTACCTGAGCCCGCCTGGATTATTGATTGCCATAGATCTTCCTTGAGATTGATGAGCCCTTCAGGGTTTTTACAGGAACAAATCTTTGATGTAATCGAGTCAGCCCATGCATCTTTCCCTTGCAAACCTGTCACCACTGAACTTTAGTGTCTGGCTGCCAGGAGTTCTCTCTGCAGTGTTACGGCTGCGGGTTTTCGGCACAACCCTCAGCAAAGGCCACCAGAACCAGGCACGGGCTTGCCAGGGTTAAAGAGTTGTGTGGTCTCAGTGCTCCTTGGAGCAAGGCATTGCACTGCTCCTGTGGCAGGATTCCTCGAGGGACCATCCTTAACTGATAGGTAACCATGTTTTCCCCTTCCTTTGGAAAGACACTGTCAAAACTGCCTGCATCTTTTGCTTCCAAAGGTGATGTTTTTGGCCTTACTGTCTGCTTCCCTGAGCAGTGCAGGCTGTGATTTATATTGGGGACCTGTCTCTTCTTGTATGCTGCTTTTCCAATCCCTGCACAGCTTTCAGCTTTGGTTAGCTGTGATTTTTACTTTTTTTAGACCACTGAGTAAAATGGTTTGGTACCAACAATCAGTTCCTACAAGAGCCTGATAGAAATGAATTTGATGAGGATTTTCCTTTATAGTAATTTTTGGCTTCCAGCAAGTTTATGAACCATTCAGTAAATAGTGTTGACTTTTGAATCAGTCTCACCTCTAGCCAAAATCTCATATTGTACGAGGTCAGATGGCTAATAGGGGTCCAAGTGTGATTTAGTGATGTTGTAATATGCTCGGTTTTCTAAATAAAGGTTTGTCAAACTAGCACTTTTTCTACAAGCCTTCTTGATTGCAGGGGTTCAATATAATTATGAAAGATGATTATTGAGCAACAGAGTTTATAATCCTCAAGGTCGCTGTGTTTGCTTTTTTACAGATGCTAGCACACATGAGGTTTCTATTTTCTGAAATATTTTCAAGTATTCTGACTTACTGAAAATCAAACTGAAGCCTAGAGGGTTTCTTTGCTAGCAGATTTTGAAGCTACAGATGCAAGTTTCTTTGAGGATTTTTTTTTTATAAGGTTAAATTCAGTAGCTGCAGCCACTGTAATTTTATTCCTTTTTTTTTTTTTAACAGATAAAGGAGTGTGCAGATGAACCAGTTGGTAAAGGCTTCTTGGTGTCATGTTTGGTGGATCACAGGGGCAACATCACTGAATACCAGTGCCATCAGTACATCACCAAGATGACAGCCATTATCTTCAGCGATTATCGGCTGATCTGCGGCTTCATGGATGACTGCAAGGCTGACATCAATCTCCTGAAATGTGGCAGCATTCGACCTGGAGAAAAGGTATCCTGAGAACATGCAGATTGTCAATAGGCTTGTAAAAGTCGTTCACTTAAGGTTACCGATGGGGAGGCTCTGCAGTAGTGTTACTGACTTACTTGCCACTGAGAAAATGCGTGGTGTATCTCATCTGTCTGAAAAGGGTGATGTCCTGATTCTTTACAGTTCCTTTGTAATAAATATGCATTCGTTCCTCTGCTATTCAGAGACTTTCATTTGTCTTTCCACACCGTGCTACAGGTGATCTGGCAGGTACTTGTCTTTCTGATGACACTCTCCCAGGCTTGACTCAGTACAATGAATCCAAACAATAGACTTAAGCAGGCCTATTTTTTGGCTTATTTCACAGTCTGGTCTGGCAGGAGGGTTATCGAGGTGATGAGGCCTGTGCTACAACCCTTTCTGTTTTCTCCAGCTGTGGTTGATAGACTGGATCAAGAGCTTTTATCTGTTTGCTTCTCCTTTCCCCTGCCCACCCAAAAGCAGTTAAAGGGCACAGGGTACCTGGTGTCACATTTTGGTAGTACAGACTTACCAATACTGTCCTGGTTTTACTAAATCACTGTTCTTTTGCCATGTGAGACACTAGCAGAGGTTGATGCAAAGAACAGTTTGTAGTGACTAGATGTGGGGTTATTTTCAAGGGCCTCTCTTTCCCTGTCTGCTTCAGCATAGCTAATGCAGGCAGCAATTATGTAGTGCTGCAGGAATGAGTGACTTTTTCTATGATACCTTTATCCCTCAACATAAAAACTTAAAATTACCCTATCAGCTTTTTACAGTGCTTTTGAAATTATAGCTCTTACGCTTATAACAATTAGTCTGTTAAATGAGCTATTAATGAGGGGATATATAACAAAAGATATACGGTTTTTTGGTTTAAAAAAAAAAAAAAGCTTTCCTAAGTTGTTTGAGATATTCACTGCTGTAAGCAGCTTCACACCCAGAGTGTGTTAAATTGAAGTACTGGTGTATTCCAGAAGGTATAGGTGAACCACAGAAAGCACAAAAGTAAGGACTTATTTCTGGAAACAAGAACAAAAGCAACCACAGAAGCAGGAGGAACTTGGAGGCACGACAGATTCAGACTGGTAACAGCCAAGTAACTTGCTTTCTCCATTAAGTAAAGGCTCTCTTCTAAAGTTGGGCTGAAGGACCTCATGAAATGAGAAATTGCTTTTAACAATCAGTATAGAATCAGCAGTGTAATACAGGAATCCTGGGTGTCAGGTCTGCATGTTACCTGTGGCTTCACCAAACTGAAATAACCTAAAATAACTTACAGTAGTACCGAAGGGACACAGCAGAGGGGATTTCATGAACACAAGCCAAGTGTCACATGGTAGAAGTGACCTGATGTGGGCAGGCTGGTGTGTGTAACAGGGCACAACCCTCTGTGTTGGTCTGGGTTAAGGTGGGTGAAGGGGGAGGATGGCTGGGGTGGGTGAGGCCACAAGCCACCAGGGAGAGGGAAATGAATGCAAACTTGGGGTCACCAAGTTTCTGTGGGCTAGCAAAGGGATCACTAACCAAACTTTTATGGGGGTTTATGCATGTTTCTCTCTTTCTTGGTGCCCAACCCAGAATCCTGTGCCTTGGTTTGTGAAAGTGCCTTTTGTTATGCTGTCATCTTTGGCACTGAGAGCAACTGAAGTATTCTATACTGCTATGGAAACAGCTATAAATGGCTATGCAAGCATTTCTTTTGTTGGTGTTCTGTTCTATCCCTTTGCTGCTTTGGAGAAATCTAATTTGCTCCCATCAGATGCTAGTTCTGGTTTTATTTCCATTCTTTAGCTTCTGAGAGTTACCTGTAGAGAAACAGTCATTACCCTTTTGTGTGACTGAAGGTAACTGTGAATTTAATAAATAACACCTGGACACCTGAGGAGGAAGATGAGGGAAGAGATTCATCTCTCTTTTTTTATGGAAATAAGCACAGCTAGACCATGAACTCCATCCACATCAGGCAGCTCATAGATTGCAGTATGATAGCTTTATCAGAGTAACTGGGTTAAACTGGTATTTTTAACTGTGAAAGGCACTTAAATTGGCATTCTGGAATTGGATTACCTCTTGAAGCCCCTCTGCTATCTACCCATGTTCCTTTTCTACACTTCCCTTTTTTCATTCAGCTTGATTTCTACTTTCTAATTGAATTCTGTTCCCGCTGGGTTTGTTGCTTCTGATATGGTGCTTTCTGTGCTTTCTTTTCCACGTTTCTGGTTGGGTTTCTGTACTATGAGAGCTTTAAAGTTCAGCTTGGAAGTCTTGATCTGACTGTGGACTTCATTTTGCCTTATGAAGCAGAAAGGTCATGGATGTGTCATTAGATGTGTCATTTGGAAGCATTGAGTTTTCTAACCTGTGCTGGGGAGTGTTTCAGGGGGGGTTGTTTTTATTTTCTTCCAGTTACTGGAGAAACATTTAATAGTAGTTTCAGTCACCTTTCCAGTTGGCAGTTGTGCTTTATAGCGAATTTGGTCTCCTGCTATTTAAAGATTGCTTTGTCTTCATGCAGTAGGGACCTAATTTGACATTGGTAATCGCATGGGAGCTTTTCTTCTTTGGCTGCTTGTTGGAATGAGCTGCTTTCCCATTCCTGGTAATATGTGGGGTTGTATTTAACTAATGGGTAGTGTGTAGTTGCCAGGGTTTAGCTGTTTAACCCTGGTGTCCAAGCTGTAGTTGATTCTTTGCCATAATGAAAGCTACAGAAGTGTCCATTGCACAAGTGTTGTAGCGCTTTAACAGATAATAGTTTTTCCTAAAGAAAGACACTTTAGGAGACCATTGTTTTCTTGTTGGTTTTTTTTGTGTGATCCCTAAATGCTTTGAGCACAGTTGCTCTCTTTCCTTAGTTTCACAGAAGTACTGGGCATAGAGTGGAATTGAGTTTACACGGGAAGAGCTGATCACGTTCAGCTTGGTCTTTGTTTACTCAGTGTAGTAGTGTATGTGTAGTATTATGCAGTGTACTATCACCTGGACTACTAGGAATTAGCTAATCTAAGAGCCATCCCAGCACCCCTGGTGTCCAGGTTAGCCAAGGGGAATGCTGAATTGAAACTCCTGGTAGATCTGCTGGGTGGTTTTCCATGACCTGGCTGCTCTGGCTCCAGTGAGTCAGCACAACCATCCAGTGCAGGGTGGTGTGCTGATGAGACAGGTTGTGTTTTACCCTCCCACCTGCTGCTTCTTTCTACTCTTCATTCTCTCCTGGTTACTTTTCTAGCTTCTCTCTGCAAGTCTGCAGCTGGAACAGTCTTGTGCTCAAGGCGTGGCAGGTTTCAGACAGGATAAAGTCTTCTACGGAGGAGCTTTTGAAAAATGACAAAAAAATAAACAACAGTTGGAAAACCTAAACTGTACTGGGGGGAAAGTGGAATTTCTCATGGAAAATGAACAGTATGCACGTGGCAGCTGGTGCTGGAGCAGGACTGGGAGAGCTCATGCTGTGGGATGACGACCCTTGGCTTTGGTGCCTCTGAAGCTGAGCTGACTGTGCAGGACTGTTGGCACATGGAGTGCAGGTGGAACAGGCAGCCCTGTGTGGTGCAGAGCTGGGCAGTGATGCAGGTGCCACCCCTGTGTGTCACAACTCCCTGCCATCCTTTGGGAGCAGCCTTGGCTGCCAGTTGCTTTAGAGCAGGATGGCTGAGTGCAGCTGTACACACCTTTGTTCTTCCCTTCCAGTCTGCAATAAGAGATTGTGCAGTATTAAATACAGTAAGTGTTACCCTATAATTAAAGCATGAGGTGAAATTTCTCTAAACATGTTTGTAGAGTCCTGTGCTCTGTTTGGCAGTAGTGGTAGTAGTGTGGATGCCTTCATGCACTTCTGAGGAAATGAAGAGTTGGGCCCTCCTTAAAATGGCTTAGCTAGTTAAGCCAGGGACCTGATCTGCCTGACAGTGAACCAATCCCACATGAGGTCAGGAGATCTTCCAAACAGTGTCATGTGGGCACAGGAACACTAATGGCACCACAAGAAGGCATGTAAATGCTTGATGCTAGGAGGAAAGGGCAGGACTGCATCTTTCAGGACCCAGCTGGGTTCATTTGTGTGTGTTTCTATTTCTGTTGAGTCTGACATGTTTTAAAATTGCTCTAATACAGGGCAGCAGAGTAGCCAGCCCTGCAGGGTGATCTACCCAAATGTAGAAGCTGTATTAGCAGGGTAATGCAATAAACGAGTCATGTTGTGTTGTGCACCAGCAAATGTTCATCATCCAGCATATGGAAACCCATTTTCACTAGACTATTAAAAATAGTTTAGTACTTACATACCATTGTATGACTCTGACCAGGAATCTAGACCCACACTGCAAGAAACCAGGAAATTTCTCATTTTCCTAGCCGGAAAAAGCTTCCTTTGCCCTCCTTGCTGGCTTGTAGGGGAAAGCTGCAGGTGAGTGAGTGTAACCTTGGTCTGCCTTGCCTCCCAGTTGCAACCTCACTGGGCAGGAGCAAAAATCTGCCATGGGAGATTAAAATAGTTGTGTTCAATAATTTACACTTACCAGCTTTTCAATTATTATCTGTGACTGACCATGAGAATTTGCAGAACAGTGTTCATGTTTGATGTAGTTATGGATAAATGGCAATTTTAAGTAATGTGGCAAAGGTACTGCTTACTGATATTCCTCAGAACCCAGATTTTGGGTTCAGTCCTAGGAGGTCTTTTGATATATAATTATGTTTCTTCAAAGGTACTGGTACCTGGCCAGCATAGGGAGTTGGCCAGTTCCCACTCAGAGAAAAGAGCAAACCAAAATAAGGAACTTTGGGGTGTGTGGGTTTTTGGTTCTTTGCCTTTTTTTTTTTTTTTTTTAAGGGAAAAAACTGCTTTTAGTGCTTTTAAACTGATTTTATTTCTGGGTTGTGTTTACAACTTTATAATTGGCCAATTCTGTTTGTGCTCCAAGTGTAGCAGAGTTAGGACATGAATCAAAGGCTGCCTGCTGAGGAGACACGTCAGAACAAAAAGATTTGGAAGAGCTGTGTGGCTTTGAGTAGTCATGGTGGTGTTTTATGGAGACTGCTCCCTTACTCATGCTCTGCACCAGCAGTGGAGGGATCTGCTTGACAGAGAGAGCTGAAGGGATGGCTCTGAAACGGGCACTGCAAATGCCAGCTGGGTGATTCAGCTGAATGTGAATATGCATGCCTTGTTGCATACTTCAGGTAGTATAAGCAGAGCAGCATAAATTAAGGTGGCCTTCATAGGAAAAACCTGCAGAAACCTTGAGAAATATGTACCAGAAGAATTCATCCAGAGGTATAGAGGGGGTATGGTTCTCTTTCTAAACACGTAAAAAGGATGTAGGAAACTAAATGAAGCTTTGCTGAGCTTTGCCCAGCTTCTTCCAGGCTTTTAAACAAAGCACAGGCTCTCTGTGTTTATTGACAGTCGCTGTTCATAGTCCAGAGTTGTGTCCAGGCCTGCAGGACACAGTGGATGTGGTGCACAGCATTGGGCCAGAACTGCTTTGTCCAAGACTTCATTTACCCTTGAATGCTTTGCAGTTTTTGATTCTCTTAATGGAGGAATTAGCATTGAGAAACCTACATTGGTCAAAGCTCCTTTGTGGCCTTTTTAGCATCACGAATTTTCACCACCCAAGCTGAAGGCTTGTCTCAGCATGGCAGAACTATGATTTTTCTCTCCCAAGTATATTCTTAATGCAGTACTGTTGCTTGCTGTTGCCATGGTGCCAAGAGAGCTGTGTCAGATTAAAGATAATTTGGCTGTTTTGGTAAACTGCTCTGAGCAGTGTGACTAAGTAGTGATAATCTCATTAAGTCACATTAAAACAAGCCCATAGCATTGGAGGGGGGATTTCATGGTGACCATCAGCAGGATGATGGTGTATAAAGTGTGGTTAGTACAGATATTAACTGTTGCCTCCTCTGAATGTAAATGTGGTTTAGGCTGAACTTTTGGAAGTCTATATGTAGACAGTGTTGCTTAATTAACATGGTACTTAGCCAGGATCACAGATCACTTGATTACATGAATGCTTGGTTACAGATGTCATCTCGTTCTTCTCCCATAGGATGCTCACTCACAAGGAGAGGTGGTGGCATGCCTGGAAAAAGGCCTGGTAAAGGAGGCAGAGGAGACTGATCCTCGAATTCAGGTTTCTGATCAGTGTAAGAAAGCAATTCTTCGTGTAGCTGAGCTGTCTTCAGATGACTTCCACCTGGACCGGCATCTCTACTTCGCGTGCCGAGACGACAGGGAGCGATTCTGTGAAAATGTGAGTGCTTTCCTCCTGCCTTGTCTCTACAGTAATCCATTAAAAAACACAAACCTCTGCTGGAAGAAGGAATGAAATGGTAGACTGGAGCCTGAGTGGTGGCACATAACACTGCAAATAGACACCTCGTAGCTGTCATTCTGCAATAAATCCACTGTTAAATGCACTGACCCAACAAACAGGCGTTATTTCCAGTGTGTTAATGAACTGAATTGTCATAAGTGGTTTAATGGGCATCAGAGCTGCTGTGGCAGGGAGTGGGGAGGAGGCAGTGGAGGTGGGTGACCTCTCCTTTCTACAGCTGTGAGCTGTTTGTTGCACAGAGGTAAGCCTGGTCTGCCGATACTTGTAGCACTCATCCTTGGAGCGATGAGCTGGAAAGCTGCATTGTTCAGTCTGAAGTAGCCTGTGTCAGCTGAGAGTCTTCACGCTCAAAGGGTGATGAGCAAGACTAGGTTTTTTTTAAATGCAATAAAATTTTAAAGATTTTCATTGCATAGAAGATATTGCTGTCATTTGAAATATTAACTCTAGCATGTTAGTAGTTTAAAAAAAAGAAGCCCTTAGGTGTAGTTCAGCCCTCTCATTAAGCATTGCAAATCCTAATATTAACTGTAAATGTTGCTGTTCTGTTTCACAGACTCAGGCTGGGGAAGGCCGAGTCTACAAGTGCCTCTTTAATCACAAATTTGAAGAATCAATGAGTGAAAAGGTAGGTATCCTACTGAGAAAAATCCTTACTGAAGAAATCATCAGATCATTCCTCAGTCCAGACTGCATTATTCTTTTCCAGTATTGAGGAAAATCCGTCATCTACGTGGTCGGATAATCGGCTGCTTTAACAAATTCTTTTACTTTGATATTTTTTGTGTGTCAAGTTTCAGCCTTTAAAGTTAAGGATTTAAATAAATCAAAGCTTTTGGTGGGTAATTTGGGAAGGCAGACACAGCTCAAGTGGTAGCACTGTGATGGAGCGTTTAAAGTAGCAGTCGCATCATGCTGGGGTAAGCCTTGGATAAATGCTGTCCTAATGTATGGATTAGAAACAAAATGTACCTCAGCACAGGAAGCTGCATTTGTTTCACTGTTTTCAAGTAGCACATTCTCTGGGAAGGATGCATAGCTCATCGTAGTTCCTGAAGTTTTCCTTATGATTTTCCTGACGATGTGTTTTGCAACAACAGCAAAAAAATGTTTTTCTGGACAGCCAGTCCAGAAAAAAGTTTGTATTTGTGTAGGTGTTTTGGGAAGGCAGCAATGCCTTCAATGATTTTTGGAAGCAGCATCATAGTGTTTCAGGTTGTATGGAATTATATAATCTGTCTGCAACAATATGAAGATGGATGTCTATAAAGATCTTCCCAGAGAAGATCCACTGAAGGAGCCTGATTCAGAGTCCTAGAGGAATCAGACTAATTTCCTTTTCTTAAAAGCTATCTGACAGCTTGGTTCCAGTTAACAGAGTCAGATCTGAAAGAGTGATCACTGAGGGCTTGAAACAAAGCTCCATTTTGTAGAAGGGTGTTACTGCAATGAACTGGTGCTTTTGCTTAACCTGTTTTCAGATATACTTCAGATATACAGGGACAGTGGTAGTTTTTGAGGGATGTTTTCCATGATGGGCTGTCTAAGATATGAATGTAAGGTGTAGAGGGGGTTAGACAAAGCTGTGGCAGATGACTTGGTAGGGAGAGAGAGGTGGATGCTCTGAGGGCGCAGTTTGCAGAACAGGAGGAGCACTAAATGTAGTTCTCACTCTCGTAGCTGCCAAAGTTGGACCATCTGCAAAGTCTCTAGTTGTGTAGAAGCTGTTACCCAGGAAAGAGTTCCTCCTTGCCTGTGGTGTCAGCTGCTGCATACACACGTAGCCAGCAATAGCTGCCTGGTGGGTGGCTTTGTGTAATCCAGAACTGGCTCCCTGGCTGTATCCAGGCTTTCCCTCCCTCAGGGGATGAGGTATCTGTGAACCTGTGTCTCCCTGTGTCCAGAGCTGTAAGTTTGACCAGTCCCAAGATCCCAATCATGGCACAGGAGCATGAAAGAGGGAGTGGGAATATCTCAGAGTAGGACTTTCCAGGTCCTAAAGTAAGTGTGGGAAGGAGGGGGAGAAAAGTCAAAAACCTGGTGTAAGGAAGTGGGGAGAGGGCTCTAGGGCTCCTCTGTTCCTTGTACCAAGATTGCTCCCTGTTCTCCCTGCCCTACATATGCACTGCTGCTCTTCCTTTCAAATAGGCTGAGAATGGACAAATTGGCTCAAGCTATTCTGAATTTCCTGCCACCCTCAGATTTAATTTTCATATAATTTAAACCAAAAGCTGCCAAGTGTAGCACTGTTTTTACAGGCCCTTTTTCGGATGAAATTTAGAGGGTTGGTCTCCCAGCTGCTGGGTTTGGGTTTGGCCACAGTGCATCCTTGTGAACCTCACCAATTGTGGAAAATGGCTAGAAATTCCCACGGTTAGACTGTTTTATCTGCTGTCATCTGCTCAGTGTGTTGCAGAACAAATCCAAGGAACACACTATTTTGTAAATGTGACTGGAAAAAGTTATTTCTTGAGGGCATGGGGTGAACATGTACCACAGCTGGGATAAATGTCAGCAACTGATCCTAGTTACCGGGAGTGAGTCACGCTCTCAGCCACAGCTCTTCACAAAGAGCTGGATGAATGTGCAGTCTTGAGAAGTGCTCTGCAGAGAGCTGCTGCCTTTGAAACCCTTGATCTGTTGACCTCAGTGTGCATTGTTAACTGTGTGGTTTCTATGAGACAAATGAAATTTAACTGCAGTCCAGCTTAAACCCATGAATTTTAAAGCATGAGTTGTTTTTTTGAAACGCAACTTGAAAACTTAAAAGCAGCAGGTCCAGCTCTCTGCCACCAGCACACAGGAGCTCATTCCATCGTCCCCATGTGTCCCCTGCAGTGTCGTGATGCACTGACCACCCGCCAGAAGCTGATTGCCCAAGACTACAAAGTCAGTTACTCGCTGGCCAAGTCCTGTAAGAGCGACCTGAAGAAGTACCGGTGTAACGTGGAGAACCTTCCCCGCTCCCGGGAAGCCCGGCTCTCCTACCTGTTGATGTGCTTGGAGTCTGCAGTGCACAGAGGTAAGTGCAATTAAAGACTTGTTGGGACCGTGATTTTTAAAAGTTTCTTCACCTTGAACATGTACTGACAGTCCCCTTCTCCAAGTACCTTTTCCCAAACTTTGGTTCAGAGGCAAGTTTCCACATCGTGGTGCTTTCACCACTGTTGTTTTGACAAGGAGAATGGCTGAGTAAACTGCTGTCTCCTGTTGTGTAGACAAGAAGTTTAAAATGCAAAATACCAAATCCCACTTGGACTGCTGATGTGTAGTTGCAAATCCTTCTATTCACTGTGAATTCAAGCAGCTCTTTTCCTCCTTTGTGTAGTAAGCATTAAATATGCTACAAGGTTAAAACATAGAATAGAGAACCTGTTTATCCTCGCTCAGGGAAAGCCAGGGATACTCGGTCCTCTGCCTCCTGTAAATGATGTCTTTCCTTGCAGTTCAGGAGCTTGGGTAAATGCCTTAATTTCTCTAGCTCTAGTTTTTTCCTAAATAAAAGAAGGCAAGTGTGAGAACATTATTTTTGTTCATTTAAATTGGTGTAAGCTGGACATGCCCTAACACCAGCTGCTGTCCCAAAGGCATTAGAGGGCTGAATGCAGCAGGACCATGCTTAAGGTTCTCTGTGAAGTTGCCATAACATGTGAAATGATGTGTTACATCCTCTAGATCTGCACTGGAGAACTGCTTGTTTTTCCCTTTGGCATGCAGCTGGGTGGCTTTGCAGCAGGGCTCCCTGCTGCAGTGCCTCTGGCATGGGAGGGAAAGGCTCCACAAGCAATCCCTGCATTTGTGCGTTTTTAATAACTCATTGCTTCTGATTGATGTGGAAATGATGTGTCCTGTTTGTAGAAAACTTGTGGGATCTTTTTTCCTTCTCCCTGCAGGTAGAGCAGGTGCTTTCCTGAATTACATGCAGGAGACTGCTGTTCAGTTATTAACTTCCACTTTCACAGTGGAGCAGGTTCTGCAGTGTCTGACACAAAGCACAGCCCAGGAGGAACAGTAATTATTCCACACAGCTCCACGTGTCTGTGTTACAATGCCTGGGAGCCCCTGCTGGGGTGTCTCCTGTTCCATGGGGTGTTGTGCACATATGAATAGGTTGTGATGAGGACTGGGGGGAGGATGTAACAAAAAAACCAACATGGTCCTTTGGATGAAAAAAAAAACCCCAAACTGTCTACATGGGGACTGCAGGAAAGCTTATACCAGATCTAACTATTTACTACATCTAGATTTCTGTGCAGCTGCAGTGGTTTATTAGACACTCCATGCATGCTCTTGTTCTAGTCTGGTTTTTGGCTTCCTGAGCATTTATGTGCTATTGCTCTAGAAAACCTTTTCCTCAGAGAAAATGCTTAACTTGCTGTCCTGACAAATTCCTCCCCCAGTTACATATCAAACTGGTGAACTGCCAGAGGAGACTTACACAGTGGAAAAATGAGCCCTTGAGCATATGGGGTAAAGCTGACTTGTGCTACAGAACTGCAGAGGGGGCACTCTCAGGTGTTCTTCAGAAGCAACTCCTATAATGTGAAATCCAAAATAAGATTAAGAGAATCTTTCAGGAATCCTTTTTTTTTTTTTGAAAACATGTTGAATCCTTGGACTGGCTGTATTTTACAGGTTCATTTAAACGACAGGAGCTACCCCAGCACTGGTTTAATGCCAGCACGTCCTCTCCAGCACACTGGTTGCAGTGTGGTGTTGTTCAGAGCGCTGACATTGTCCCTGCTCTTCCAACACAATGGCAGCTCAGGTCAAGAAGGGCTCTGCTAAGCGCTGAAGCTAAATCACATCTTGTTCTCTTGGCTCAGGTCGGCAAGTGAGCAGTGAGTGCCAGGGTGAGATGCTGGATTACCGGCGCATGCTGATGGAGGACTTCTCGCTGAGCCCGGAAATCATCCTGAGCTGCCGAGGGGAGATCGAGCACCACTGCTCGGGGCTGCACCGCAAGGGCCGCACCCTGCACTGCCTCATGAAGGTGGTGAGGGGGGAGAAGGGCAACGTCGGCCTCAACTGTCAGCAGGCAGTAAGATGCTCTTCTGTCACTTCTCCTGTGCTTTGCTCTGTTGGTAGAAGCACTGATTTGTCTGTGAGCGTTTTGCCTCGTGATGGAGGTGCTGCTGGAGTCAGCCTGGCTCTGCTGGGTGCCAGTGAATGCTGGAGGCAGTTGTGTAAGTGGTCGTGGTATGAAGTGTAACCTGGTATCTGGCAGCACATTAGTAATGGTGGGGTTTTTCCCCCTCAGAAAAATACATTTTGGATTGTCCTGCTCTGGATTTTGTATTGGATAGGCCTTGCCTTGACAAAAGACTAAACATCTCTGCTAGATTTAGGAGTAGGGCATCAATGTAGGGAGCATAGAATGGGGTAAGAGGGTTAAGGAATGTGTAAACAAGGGTGCTACAGGGAAAGGGATAGGGACAAGGGATGCTGCTTTTAGAGTCTACCTATAAAACTTACAAGGCTTACCAATATTAGAAAAATAAATAAAAAAAACAAAACATTAGGGGCTTAAGGCATCAATCTCCTGTAGTTCTTCTCTAACAGCTTTTAAGTCATGAAATTCTCTCCTGAGTGCAAGATGTAGGGAAACTTGCTTTTTGTAATTTTAAAATATTCCCTCTCTGCTTTTCCCCCTATGTCCTGTCCTTGGAAATGCACAAAACCTTCTCGAAGCACCTTCCCACTCAGTTTTATTTTTATTTCATTCAACTAAAATGATGGAAATGGAACTTCAGGGACAGAGAGGTACAACAGACTGCTGCATGTTGGTGGAGTTGCAGCCACTGAAGGAAATTCAATTTTTCTCCAAAATACCTTTGTGTAAATTGGGATAATTCTTTTACCTTTTCATTTTGACCCAGATACATCCTGTTTTTGGTTTTTTTACATTAAAAAACAATAATTTAATTTTTGTTCAGACTCATTAGTGCTTTTTAATATATTACATTTTTGTACTTAATACTCGTCTATGAGCCCAGAAAAGTGGCATCAATGACAAAACTGGTGAGGGATATTAGTGCTGATGTAGGAATTTGGGGAGATGCACGATCATGACTTCCTGCAATAGATGGAACCAACAGCTTAAAGCCTGAGCCCCTTATAGTGCCAGTTGGTGTATATTATCACAGGTAAATTAATATCTGTTCAGTTTTTGTAAGGCATAGGGTGTTTTGTGCTGAAGCTCATTTCTGCACAAATACCAAGTGTGTTGGAGCAGCAACAAGTCATTTCTGCAGGGAGCTGGAGTGCACGACTTGTGCTTTGCAGCCCTTGTGTGAAAAACTGCATATTTGTTTCTCTTTAAATTTGAAGTTGAACCTGCTGCCTCAGAACCTGATTATTTGCAAACTGTCATAAGATCACTTCATCTTGGGAATGACTTCCAGGTCATGAAGAGCGGGTTTGGAGCAAGTCATAAGTTAACACAGGAGACCCCCAAAAATGATAAGTGATTTCAAACTTTTAAAGAAAAATATCTGTAGAAATCTGTAGCAAGTTTGGGGGTTTTAACATTCTCTTACACTTGAGCTACTGCTTTATTTTTGTACAGTAAGTTGATGCAATAGTACGGCTTGTCCATGACTCCCCTTCAAGTTAAATGTGTTCTGTTCTCTGCAAAACACAGCAGGAGCAAATTAAGTGTTGATTTTATAAAATACAATTAGCTTGTCCTTATTCTTCTGGGCAAGAGGAAATAGATTATTGCAAGACTGTGATAAACATTCCAATGATCTGAGTTCCTGAAGACTGGCATGGTACTATTATACAGCTGCCAACAACTTTTGAGGTACTAAATAATTTATTGTTATTTTTCGTATTTGAATGGTAAGGGTTGTCTCAGCTGTCAGTGGCTTTGTTCTGTTTTGATTTATTGTGTTAGAATCAGCTTCCTGCTTTTACCTTCCAAATTAGCTTTTCAAGGAAGAGACTGTTATTGTCTGAAACCCTTCCAGATACTGTGTCATGTGAGGTTGGCCCATATGACAGGCCCTGAAGAAGGCAAGTTAGACATCCATCCTCTCAGAGTTCCTTTTGGGTACCTAGAGAGCACCTTTGACATATGGTTCTGCTATGGTTGTTGATGGTAGAAGTGCTGGTCTGTGGCACCTCTACATTTTCACCTGCAGAAACAGTAGAACAGCAGGGGTGCCCTGGGGTGGTCCCAGCAGAGCTGGCTGCAGTGCTTGGGGTCCATCTTCAGGTGTCTTCCCTGTGGAGTCAACAAGTCATCTCTCCATGCTTTTAGCAGCATCATTAGGTAATGCTAATACAGCACCTTGATTTCTTGGCTAACTCAAAGCAATAGGGCTTGTCCTGAAGTTCTTCCTTCTAGAAGCTCTATGACCAGACACACCTGCCCAGACAGTTTGCCCAAGGAAGCTGAAAGAGGAAGCATCTAATTTGGATCTGGTTTTGCTCTTGTGTCTGTGAAGGTTTACTCTGATTCAGCCTTATGAAAGGAAGATGTTTCCCTCTCTGCCAAAAGCAACATAAAAGAGTCCTAAAACAACAAAACACAACCAAAGAACCTCCGTGATTTTATTTTCCTACAGGAGCATCTGCTCTTACCCTTTCCTGCAGGTAGAATGTGACTGATTATTTGTATTTAAAGCTGTCAATGAAATACATTCCCAGATATTCTCAAACTCCAATATTTTGAACTGAGAAGTTCCATTTCTTGTGAGGCACCTCAGGCAGAGTGATCTTTTGCATACGAGAGTTCGTGCTCACGCTTCACTGTGCTGTTGGGTGAGAAGCACATCTAGACCCAAATGTCTGAGCCATGTGGGGCTTTTGTCTCGGTTTTGTTCAATGAACTTTTCAAAATGCCATTGTGTCCTATGAATGGTAGAAGAACAATGGCTTTCTGTGCAACATAAGTGGTTCAGCCTAAGTCAGAGGAAGAACTGAGTGTGTGTTCAGCCCCATCTTGCCAAGCTGGGATCTTAAGGGATCCTCCACATGGGGAGGGTGGGTCTGCAATTCTGTAAGTCATCAGACAGCAGATAGAAGGGTCACTTAATTGTGAGCATGAGCTCTACAACTGTACTGGCAATGTCTAGCACCTGTGGTGTTGCTTAGTGGAAGGAATATTTTATACTAGAGCTGTTTTGACAAATAGTTTTTCAAAAGGGCTTCTATGGTGCCCTGGTCTCATCTTTGGGTTTTTTTATGTTCAGTCCCTTGAGTGTGTAAAACTATAATCCCTGTTTAAAGGGCTTTTTTTTTTTTTGTTTCCAGTTTCTAATACAGCTGATAGTTCATTGTTAATTGAGCTCCATATGAGAATAAAAGTTCAGAGAACTGTCAAGTTTATCCAGCTCCTTTTTTTCAGCTGCGAGGGTTTGTTCTGGGAGGAAGGAAAATCCTATACAACCTTCACTTTTATCACTGTGCCAAATTATTCCTTCTTCCCTGCTGTCATGGCAGCTGGCTTGGTGCTGCACATCTTGCATGTGGTTGAGAACTGAGACAGTGAATTCTGCAGTAGTGCCCAAAACGGTCTGGAAGGACAAAGAGGTGCTTTGCTGCTTCCAAGCTCTTGTACCCATTGGATTTTGGCCTCTTCCACTTGATAGCAACAGAAAAACCAATAAAACTGAGATCTGAGGAAGAATCCTGCCTACCTAATGCTCTGGCCAGTTCATTTAATCTGTGTGTGTAATAAGGTGTTGGGTTTGTGGTTCTATTCACTCAGTTTTCCTTGAGGCACCGATTCCACTATTTGTACTCGAACCTTTTTGATAATAAATGTTTGACATAAACATCTGACATAAAGTGATGCCAGCACTTTATATGCAGAGTATTGCCCATCCATGCAGGCTGTGTGTGCGTGCACCAGCAGAACCACAATATTCTTCTCCTCCTTGCAGTGACTCTTACAGAGTTTGTGAAGAACACATCACTTCTCACTTCTACTGATTCCTGTTATGAACTGGGTCTTGTATTGGCTTTTGTTGGACCACTGTCAGAGGCATATCAAATAATAATAATAATAATAATAATAATAATAATAATAATAATAGTTATTGTTATTATTTTACTGAAAATATCCCAAGAATTTTTGATAGGCAGCACTCTTCTGATCTGCCTGCATCCCTTAGAAGCTGAAGCTGGGGATGATCAAGAGTGAGTTGCAGGAAATCCTGCTTTCCTCCCAGGCAATCTGTGGTCTGTCCTGATGATTGTAAGTTTCCTATTGGATAAATAGTGCTAGCTTGTATTTTCTCCAGTTCTCTGATGCCTTTTTCTTCCCTGTGTTTTGTGATGTTAGGGCTTTGCCTTGAGAGTTTCCTGGATGGTGTTTAGGTGCAGACTTTGAAAGGTGGAGAATAAAATTGTGACTGTGCTTTTGATTTAGTTGGGCTCGGGGCTAGAGACAAAAATCATTAAGTGTCAAGATGTTAACAGCATAGACCATTTGATGTCGGTGTGCAGTTGCCTTCTAAGCAAGCTCTCTGCCTCTTTTTTTCCTTTCCTCTCCAAATTTGTCAGCTAAAAATGTTTGCCTGTCAAATGATGATAGCAGTCTGATGTCAGTCAGTCTTTGGGAATTCACAGCTTGATGGAAAATGAAGTGGGACATGGGGATCCTGGCCTGAGTTATAGTCCAGAAGCTACCTTTGTGCCCAAAACTACTGATTAATTGAGTTTTACCCAAATTCCCTTCCCCTGGCCCAGCAAACACCTCCGAAATTTATGTTCAGATGCCGTTGACTGTTTCTGGATGTTTGCTTATTAATAAGAGAAAATTCTCTTTCTGGAGCTTTTGTCAGAATAACATTTTCACAAAAAGTAAAGACTTGATGGAGCTGTTCATGCAGTATTTACCTATGACAACTGAAAGTATTTTGAAGTCATAAAGGGAGTGGTGGGAGATCTATCTATCTATCTATCTATCTATCTATCTAAAATACATACTATAGACCTTGGGTTCCAAAAGCTTTAGCAGGCATCCCTGAGGAAATGGTACTTCATGGGGCAGCAGAACAGGACATTTTATATTGTATTTCAATAAAACCTTTGTGTCCTCTCCAGGCAATTAAAAAACTGTTTTAACTTTTGTTTGTAGTTAGGCAACTGGTCTTTAAGCATTGATTTGGGTTTCAGTTGGATATAAACTTCATGAAAATATGACAAATCTGCATGCTTGGTATCATCAGCCTTATGGAATGAGGTTGCCACCAAAGATTAAGATGGATCAAAAATAGAGTGTGCAAATTTTACCAGTTCAGTTCTGTAAATTAGTACATAAGTGGTCCAGCTTTAGAGTTGACCTTCAGTGGGTGACTGGTCTCACCCAGTGTTCCTGGGCTACTTCATGATGATAATTAGGGTTCAGCAGTGCTGAACTCCCGTGTCTGGCAATTGCGTTGGCAGCACAAGCGCTTAAAATCAAACCCTGTAGGGCAGAGGTCGTACGTGGTAGCATTGCTGCTGGCACAGAATTGCCACGCTGAGAGGTTGTAATTTAGGTTGTTAACATTTGTCTTCCTCTCCACAATTTCTTTCTTGCAGCTGCAAACCCTGATCCAGGAGACTGACCCGGGTGCCGATTACCGCATCGACCGCGCGCTCAACGAGGCCTGCGAGTCGGTGATCCAGACGGCCTGCAAGCACATCCGCTCGGGGGACCCCATGTAGGTGCCTCCCACTGGGAACTGATTTGTTTTTTCAGTGGGGCATCTATGAAGGTTGTGTGGCTGAGCAGTAGGAACACTAAAAACCTGTCCAGAAATGAGGGACTCCAGAGTGGCGATTCGTGCAGGGCTGGAGGTGTGAGCTGAGCTCTGTCTCCGTTCTGGCTGCACAAGCAGGCCAGTGCTTTTGTCACAGGGCTGGTTTAGCACTGGTGAAGGATGTAGCTATCTCAGGCTTAGACTTGGTAATATTTGTAATATTTGATGTGCTCATTTCCCTAACTACATAAGTCTTTAGCAATATCACAAAGTGACAAGCCTGGAAAGTCCAGGTAAGCAAACCCATAGTGCAGAGACAGCTGCCTCCAGTCTGATAATATATTCCCCCCCCAAGACAGATTTTCTATAGAATACTCCTTAAGATTTTTGTTGTATATCAGACTTGCTGAGATAACTAAAACAATGGCATTTAAAAGGGTACAAATCTGACACACAGTTGGTTTAGATGTAATCTTTTGGAAGGAAAAGAAAGATCTTCACTGCTTTTGAACTTCTTATCTATGGTTCATTGGAAAGACTGATTTGCCAACACCAGCTGTTATAAGAAAGCCCAGCATGATTCTGACAGTCTCTGGCCTAACTTTTCTGTTTGCAGGATTCTGTCTTGCCTGATGGAGCACTTGTATACTGAGAAGATGGTGGAGGACTGTGAGCACAGGCTCCTGGAGCTCCAATATTTTATATCTCGTGACTGGAAGTGAGTACTGTAAAATGAGATTTATGCTCATGTGATGTTTCTTTTTAGTGTTTGTTTGCATTAGCAGTTCCTGGTAAAGCAGTGTCGCTTATGATGGTTCAGAAGAGGATTTTTAAATGTGCCAGGTCTGTAGGGTGCTAATGCCTGTCTAGAACAGTAGAAATGATGCAACCCTAAAAAGTGCTCAAGTTTTGGCTCTGAAATTCGGTACATCTTTAAAGAATTCTGTCTGGCTGTACTGAAGTTTAAGGTCACTTTCTGTGCAGGTGGCAGCCACTTGCATCTGCTCTGAGTGCTACAATATGGGACTTATGGAAACCAAGCTTTTCAGTATAACAAAGGGACACTGTGTGAGAAACTTCCTGCTTCCATTTCTGCCTTTTTTCAAATTCTCTAGGTGTGATTACAGTATGACAGATGTAATACCCTTTGGAGCACTGCTTTTCCAGCTTTCTCATCCAGAGATGGCAGTGCTTTGTTTTAAATGAATACAAAGCCCCTTGTGTCTGTGCTGGTTAAGATGAGGAGAATATAAATTTGATAAAGATGACCAGTGAGGAAAGAATTAAGTGTTTGGCTTGTCTTCTAAAGAAGATTGAGAGGTGAGGAAGTAGAGTACATTAAATGGGATTACTGCAAGAAATTGAGAAATTGTTCTCAGTGGCCACAAAGAGTGTAAGGCAAGAAGTGATGGGCTTCCATTACTGCAAGGGGTGTGTGAACCAAACATCAGGAAAATCTTGACTCATAGCAAGTCATGTCTTTTGGGCAGCATTGCCAGTAGTTAAGAGTTGGCATGCTCTGTGAATCTTCTGCTTTTAAAATACCTGGGGCCCTGTGAACCAGAGAGTTTAGGGCTTTGGGGCTGTTTATTTAGTCATCTCAATAACTGTCGCCACAGGTACACAAAAATACTTAATTTTTTCCCCCTTCCTGTTTCCCTTCATTGTTATTTCTCCTGCCTGTACCATGTTTCCAGCAGGTAATTCGTTGCTTGAGCCAAACTTAATTGATTGAAAGAAGGAAGATTGAGTATTTGCATTTTACTGGGAGTAAAGATAACTCAAATTTATATTACATGCTGGGCAGCATTAGCTCATCTTTGTTTAACCACTGTTCCCCAGAACTGGCTTATAAAAGCTGTTGCATTTGCTGTGTCCCTCCACTGAAATCACTTGATGTTTGTCTTCTGTAGTGTTGTAGAAATTGCAGGTTTCCTTTTTGGAAAGTTAGCAATATCTCACTTAGCTTTCCTGTAATTAACTGTCATCCTAAGAGATCTGCACTTGTATACAAAAGCAAGGGATGCTGAGTCTTCAGTTGGCTCAAATCCAGGGCAGACAGAATTCATCCAACTCAGACTTTTATGGAATTGGTGTTTCAGAATGGCAGCAGTACAAAGTACACGCAAGATATTATACAACCAAAATGTGGTATGTACCTGCCTTTCTGCTGCTTTAGGACATCGAGGAGATGATTTCTTTTCTCACATGTCAGCATTTGGCTGGTATGCTGCAGAACAGAATGGGAGGTGCTTCAAGAAGGGTTGAAGATTTAATCTGTAATTAAAGATTTCGGTGTTATTTTTGCAAGAATACAGAGTTGATTCCAAACTGAGTGATGGGCATTTTTCTGCCTGTTGGTTCAGTTGGTCAGACACTGCTGCTGAGTGATGTGGTGGTGGTGGTGGTGCCTGAAACTTGGAGTGGATTTTCTGCCTCAAAAGCATTTCAGAATATCGAAAGTGTTCCAGTTTGAATGAAGTGCCAGTGACAACCCTGGTGTTTGCAGGTTGGACACAGTCCTGTACCGCAAGTGCCAGGGAGACGCCTCCCGGCTCTGCCATACCCATGGCTGGAATGAGACCAGTGAGCTGATGCCTCCAGGGGCTGTTTTCTCCTGCCTGTACAGGCATGCCTATCGCACAGAGGAGCAAGGAAGGAGGGTGAGTGCTGGTGTGCAACTTGCTGCCCTTTGACCTGTGATGGAAGGGTTGCACACGCGTTTGAAGTTGGACACACTGTGATAAAACTGCCAGAACTCACGAAAGCTGCTTCAGAAGCATTTACTGTAGGGGGTAGTTGCAGTGCTTTGGGTGCCCCACTCCTCCTCCAGTGTGCCCTGAGGGTGGCTGTTCTGGCAAGGCAAAACAGGCCAGCAGGATGTGACATGGGCCAGTGGAGGAACTGTGCACTGACACCGACTGACGTATCTGTCCAAATGCACTGCAAGTCCTCCCCCATGTCTTCCCAAAGAGGAATGTGATTCCTTGCAGATAGCTAGCATAGCTGCAAAATTGGTTTTATGCTAAAAGAGTTTCAAGCTCAGCTTTCCTTGGCTGTTTCTAATTAAGTTTTGATTTGTGTACAGCTTCAGATTATACTCCATTAAATTCTTCCTGTTGCTATAACACATCCTTCCAGTACTGTGGAGCGTGCTGTCCTGGTAAATGTGCTCATGCTGTCTTTAAAGAAGACAGTAGGGATCTGACTTGCTGCCCTGCAGTCTGGAGATGCACCATCATGGCATCTGTAGTTCAGAGCTGCTCTTTTCAAGTTTGCTGCCCTCTCGTGCCTTTATCAGGGCACTCAGTTGAAAGCAACTGGGTACTCAGTTCCATTTCTGTTGGCACTGTGGTGTACACAGCCCCCAGCAGTTGGTGGGTTTACACAGTGACCTGGCTTAAAAATTAATTTCCACAGCTTGATTTAAAAGGTCTTTTGTGGCAGAGGTCAAGTATTGATTGAAAGCATCTCTCTTTTAGGAATAATTTTTATTTAATACAGTTTCTTAGTCTGCTGAGTTGAGACTTTTTAATTCCATTTTATATTAGTGCTGACCAAAGAAATCAATAGCCACCCTGCAAATAATCTATCAGAGAGAGAAAAGGTTTTTAAATGTGTTTTTCTAGTGGAAAGTAGGCTAAGGGAGCAGCTGTCATTTTGAAATTTAGTGTTGGAAAGCAAACTCTTGGGAGGTTAGGCCTGTACTTCTTTCCAGTGCTGTTGACAAAATGCTACATAACTTCAGTGGTTTGGATTTTTAAATGTTTGAAGTTTTAAGCTTCAACTGGTGCATTTTAGGTCTGATAAGCACCATACCAGTATCCCTTGGTTTTCTACAATTTGTTTCTTCCTGTCTCGCAAGTGCTGACTCTGATGTGCTGCAGTGGGGATTGCTGAGCAGAAATTACAGCTGGACTCTATTACCTCATTCTGGGCTTCCCATTTGGTATTGAGGGCATGAGCTATTTTGACTTCCTTCTCCAGAAGCAGTCTGTGGCTTAGAGTGAAGGGGGGTGGTGCAGCAGACAGCCTAGGGACCTGCTCTGATATCTCATTTCAAAAATCAAAGTACAGGTTTAAGAATATAAAATTAATTTTAGTGGAATGAGAGGAGCCTCTGTCTAAACTAAATGACAGAGCTCCAAACTCTTTTGGAGCCCAGATTTGCTTTTGGGGGCCCTGGCAGACTTGTGCTGAGCAGTGCAGGACTCCTGGGCTTTCTGGGACTGCTGATGGCATTTGTGGTCACTCTCAGAACTTTACCTGACAGCATCTTCTTTGCACTGTGTGGATTTAGAGACCCCCTGTGCTTAAACAGTCCCTGTCCTCCTTGCAGCTATCACGGGAGTGCAGAGCAGAGGTCCAGAGAATCCTCCACCAGCGAGCCATGGATGTGAAGCTGGACCCAGTTCTCCAGGACAAGTGCATGATTGACCTGGGGAAGTGGTGCAGTGAAAAAACAGAGACAGGGCAGGTACTGTACACAGGATCACTGCTGCTTTGGTTGGGAAGCTGGAGGGTGGGGCAGGGCAAAAAAGGGCTTAAAGGGACATCTTCTTGTGTGCTGCCTCTTTATAGCAGAGAATATATTAAAAATTAGGGCGGTATGAAACATAATCTACACCAAACTGAGAGGTGGGGATGATACAAAGAAGCTTTGCTCATACTGTATGGCTTCATTCAGTAGGTTTAAATGTGTAGTGGAATGAGAAGGGGGAGGGAGTAGTTAGCAAGAAGGACTTTAATGAAGCAACCCCACCCCCCTCAGTCTCTTATGTGTAATATTCTATTACAAGCTTGACATTTCCCACATAAACTTTATCCCATTTCCATTTGGCAAATACTGACATGCTTCCTGTGTTTATACAGAACTGAACTAACATCTGCAGCTACTTAACAAAAGTTTCAACAAATACTTTGATGTTAAATTGCTGTGCCCCAGGAGGGCTGTAGGGAAGGAGCTGTTGGGCAGCAGATGCCATGGATCACACACCACTGTCCTTTTGAAGGACCCATCATAGGTTGTAGTTTGGGTAACTAACCTCTCCTTAGGGTTATGCAAAGGGCAAATTAAATGTGATATTCCAGAAGTGAAAGCACATCATGGAGCCTTTGAGAGCAAGTGGTGATGTCTTACACCAACATTCTCAATCACTACTACATGTGTGTGGGGGAGTGCTGGTAGAGAGTGGGATTAAATGAGATTTAGGACTTTACCAAGAGGAGGGCAGTTTCACGTGTGTAACAATGTTTTAAGCCCAAAATTTCAGCTTGGGTTCTTGGATCACACACTGAAATGTCTGTTTCTGTAGGAGCTGGAATGCCTTCAGGACCATCTTGATGACTTGGTGTCTGATTGCAGGGACATAGTGGGAAACCTCACTGAGCTGGAGTCTGAGGTGAGTGGTTTTCAGCCTGGGGCCAAGGGAATAGTTGAGCATGTCTAGTTAAGCATGTCATTTTGATGATGGTGAAAAAAATTGAGGTTAGAGGAGCTGCAGAGATGCATCTCTGGGATCAAAGAACATACTTTTTATCTCATACAATGGAAGTTTTCATGGGGGGTTCTTGAGGAAGAGAAATGAGCAACAGTTCAGGATTTTAGGTTGGTGAGGGCATTTCTCCTGCTTAAAAGATCACTTATGGTGCTGAAGCTAACATTTCTTACACAGGTAACCCAGGTACCTTTAATACAAATCAAGATACATGTTGGGACTTCAGATTTCACTCTTGCTTGCAAGTAGTTTTGAGTACCATATTGCAGCTTCTCTCCCTATCCCAAATTTTTGCAGGAAATCACCACCGGGTAGATCAGCACAGATTTTCAGTGAGGTTGGGAGCTTAAACTATTTTATGATGTTACATATTTGATTGTCATGCCCCAGCCTGTTTGGCATATCACTTAAAATTTACATTGTGCCCTAGAGAAAGCTTCCTTCCAGTGGGTAGAAACTTTTATTTGCTCATAACTGTCATAAATCTTCAACCTCTGTGTGGGTGTAAGGTCATTTCTAGTGCTATAGCACCCAGTTTGGAGGAGACTGGCTGAATTATCCAAGAAAGGAGTTTCTGTGGAGACCAGGCTCTTCCCTTAAGGTGGAAGGCTTGTCTTGCATTTGCCATGTTGTTGGCAAGACTGAACCGTGGGATTTGCAGAACTGAAGGGTGAAGCTGTCTGGATTGCAGTTTTCAAAACCCTGTAATCTGGGTTGAGTTTTTATCACAGGGTTTTTTCACAGCCTTTTTTTCCTGTTCATTCACTGTGAAAACGAAATATTGCATGTTTTCTGCAGGACATCCAAATTGAAGCCTTGCTGATGAGAGCATGTGAGCCCATTATCCAGACATTCTGTCATGTGAGTACTCTGTAACAGTGTGTCTTTGAGGAAAAAGCACTTTGTGGGAAAGATCAGAGGGTTTTAGTATTAGTTCTTGCTACACTTCAAAAGTAAAATCAGAGGTAATCAGTTTCAAAAGTCTTTAGTTTAAAAGTCACTCTAAAATAAAAATTCTTAGTTCCAGCTAATCCTTCTGCTCTTGTCAGAGCCCTAGCGTAAAAGCTAGAGTTTGAAGATGAAAATTGCCTTGTAATTGCAAAAATCACTCTTTACAGTGAGTTCAGTACTAGACTTCTTTCCTTCTCCTTTACCTGCAGCCAGTGTGTGTAGCCACTCCACTCTGTGCAGCTGCTCAGCACTGCTGAAATAACTTCACTGATCTAGGATTGAGTAGTTAAATAGCAGTGAAGGCACTGATTATAATATGTCATGTAAGCATTGAGTCTCTGGTATGTTCCCCTGAGTCTGAAGTGTGCATGTTCCTGAGATGGTTCTTTTCTGAATTCTATGAATGTAGTTGTGTACTAGAGTTGTGTGGTGCAGCTCCAGGGTGCTCAGTTAGTAGTAAGCTCACCATAGAGGGTGGGACTGTAAGTTCTGTGTTTCCTGGTCACAGTTGTCTAAAGGAGCATAAGAACCATGACTTGTAGGAGTAGCTCATTTTTAAGCCTTCCATCTCTTTTTCAGGAGGTTGCAGATAACCAGATTGATTCTGGGGATCTGATGGAGTGTCTAATACAGAACAAACACCAGAAGGAAATGAATGAAAAATGTGCAATTGGAGTTACTCATTTCCAGCTGGTAAGCAATGCTGTCCTCTGTCAGTGGAAGCCTGTTCTGTTCTTTCAGGGTGTTGATTTATGAAACCTCTCCTTCTTTGAGATTGATTTCCCACTGTATTTAGAGAGCTCCTGTGAATTCAGACAGTTGTACTTGCATGCCTGATCATAAATGGTCACTTTTGGAGATGATTGATTTAACTTCAGGTTCTCCTTCCTCCCTGGCACATGGTAGACAGGGTCCCAACTTCTTCAGCAGTGCAGCATCCCCCCTTGCTCCCACATTAACAAGTTGTGAACAAAAGCATTTGCTGGTTGTGTGATTCAGCAAGTGTTCTTTTGGGCAATATTTTTTGTTTCAATTTGTTTTTTTTTAAACTCCAGGTGACCAAAGTTGTTTTTCTCCCCACTTCTCTCTTGCAGGTTCAAATGAAAGATTTTAGGTTCTCATACAAGTTTAAAATGGCTTGCAAGGAGGATGTGCTGAAACTTTGCCCCAACATCAAAAAAAAGTATGTATGCTGACCAAACAGCAATCTGATTGTATAAATATGTAATTAAGTTACAGGATATTTCATGAGAGGACAGAAAACATTGGACTTCCTTTAAAGGCTGATTGTTTTGTATGTGTTCCCTTAGTGACTGTGTTCTGCAGATGCTTAAGGCCAGAGGCATTGCCTCCTTCTTCAAAATTTCCTACTGGATACAAGCCTGTCCTCTTTATTGTTCTTGCTGTGAAATTAGCTAATTATTACAATTAGTGGATTGCATGTCCCAGAATGTTTTATATCCTTGCTAGATTCATCTTATAAGAGGCAGACTGCTGTTGTTCCAGTTGCTGATCTGGAAAGGGAAAATATCCCACTTGTTTTAGCTGGTTTATTCATTCAGTGTAAGGGGTTTTTTTAATGGCCTACTGCAATGATGTAAGGCTGAATTACACACAAGGTCAGTCCTGTTTGTGGATAGCAAGACTATTTGCATTTTATGATATCAATGCCCTTCCTATAGTGTAAAAGGATTGCTTGCAATGCTATGTAGGTATTCACCTTCATCTATTTCTGAGATTAAGCAAAGCTTTTCTAAAGTGCTGATGTGACTTAAGAGCCAAGGTATTGCTGGGCAGAGGTGAGGTGGGGTTTTGAATTTATTCCTGTCTTTGGATGTAGACTCCAATCAGACAGCATCAGATTTAGGGTTTAATTGTGGTCCAATTGCTCTACATAGAGCTGTACCCCAGCTAGAAGTAAGCACAGATGCACAAGGACTTTATATCGTGTTTGGATTATTGCAGTCGGTTTCTCTGGTGTGGTGATCTAACACCAACCTTGGCTGGTTCAGTGGATGAGCAAAAAGCTGTTTTCTCTTCTGCAGGGTGGATGTAGTGATCTGTCTGAGCACAACTGTGCGCAATGACACTCTGCAGGATGCCAAGGAGCACAGGGTCTCTCTGAAGTGCCGCAAACAGCTGCGTGTCGAGGAGCTAGAGATGGTAAACATGCCTGAAACTCTTGTTCTCCCCGCTCTTCTAGTCAGGTTCTTCAGTTAAAGCTTCCTGGTTTGTCCACTTTGGGGGGGGAGGAAAGGAAGCTCATTTGTAAGATGTATCTAATTTATTTTTTCCACTCTTCTTACAACACGAGGCTCAATTGCCCTTCACAGTGAAAGTAATGATTGTCTGCTTTAACACCTTAAATATAGTCTCACAAAGGCCAAGGCAAGCTAAATGGTCATTGGGATTTCAGCTAGAAGTGATTATGTTTAGTGTTAGATAGCAACGTGCTACACATGCTGATGTTCTTAAAGTCCTCTAGGAGAGAACAAAAGCTTCATTTTACAGGCTGAGGAAACAAGCACAGATGAAGCAACTCAACTCCAGCTGCTTCAAGTTGCTCAGTGGATAAATAGGAGTAGTGTTTGTTCTGGTAGGCAAAGCTGCCTCTCAGCTTCCTGCTGCAGTGCTTGCAGCAATAAACTCTTAAGGTCTTTGTCTAGTAGGTACTGTTTGAGTGTTAAAGCTTCACCTTAAGTAGGTCCATGTCAGAAGAGGCATCACTCTTGCCTTTTAATGGAAGAATTTAAATGCTGGGCATCACCAAAATCAGGAAACTTCAGTCACAGCCTCTGGATCACCTGCTAGATGGGTGGCTGTTAATTTGTCCTTTGGCTTTCACATGGAAAGACTTCAGTTGTCTTGGAGGTTTGTAATGATGCCCTTTTAGGAGAAGCAGTGGAAACAACTTACCAGCTCTAAAATTTGATTTAAATGTTTTCTTCAACCTAAAAAGCTAACTGATCACTGCAGGGAATTGCAAAGTTGGTTTCCCACTAACATCACTTCTTGCACCCAAGACCCTTAAATTCAAAGAAACTGGATGCCTGTTGTGAGAGTTTCTTGCTTTTTGTGGGTAGAGGCCTCTAGTTAAGAGATTAACAAAGTAAAGTAGCCTTGAGTCCTACTTAAAAGTTCATATTGTAATTTGTCCTGCAGACTGAGGATATCAGACTTGAACCAGAGCTGTATGAGGCTTGTAAAAGTGACATCAAGAATTACTGCCAAAACGTGCCCTATGGCAATGCTCAGGTAATGAACTTCATTAATAACTTACAATTTAATTTGTACTTTCATTTCAGAAAACTTTTGAAGAGCACTTTTACCCCTTTAAGTGCAGCTCGAGATTTTCATTTTGATGTCACTGAAATATTTTGGTAGTGCTTTGGAACGTTAATTTCTTTTTTGCCACTGGTGCACAAGCACTAATAGTGGGTGAATGCAAGGCTGTGAGCACTTCATTCTTCAGTTAATGCTAATTTTAAGCTATTAGCAGCTGGTTACTGCAAGTGTTGCTAAAAGATTTCTGAGGCATAATGTCTGCAAGATGAGATTTGTGGGTTTGGAGTAAGTCCAGGAGACCCTCTTCATCTCATTAAATCTTTGTGAGAAAAGATGAGCTTAAGACAAGTTCTGGAAATGAGCACTGGTAATGACTTTGATAAAATCTAGGCATTGGGAACTTAACTGCCCAAATCAGGTGAAGGAAGGTCGTTAGGGGAACACACAGCTGTGTGTGACAGAACTGTGTCCCCAGGGTGTCCCTTACTGCTGCAATACTGTGTTGGCAGATTATTGAATGCCTGAAAGAAATCAAGAAGCAGTTGAGCACAAGGTGCCACCAGAAGGTGTTTAAGCTGCAGGAGACGGAGATGATGGATCCAGAACTGGACTACACACTCATGAGAGTCTGCAAGCAGATGATCAAGGTAATGTTAGTGCTTATTTAAGAGGGTGAGGTTGGGATAGAAGAGCTCTATTGGCTTTGAGCTTCCCATAAAGGCTTGTTACAAGACTGCTGTGTTGTTTCAGAAGTATGATTGCTTTTTTTGCAGAGTAATCTGTTTCTTAACTCTGAATCAGGCTGAGGTTTCTTCAGGGCTCTTCTCTTTCAACTTCCTGATCAAAGCCTGTGCACTAATAAATTTGTCTACCCAACCACCAGCAGAATTGAGGAGGCAATCAGTGCTGAGGCTTCTAGTGCACTTTTCATTCAGTCAGTTTGGATTTGGATTGGCTTTATGCAAAGGTGAAGAAATTATGATTACAGAGAATTGTAAAATCTTCAGTTCGCTGCTGACTTGGTGCACACAGACTTTCATCAAAGCAATAAAACAGGCAAAATTATGCAAAATTTAAAATTAGAAATGATAACTGAAAGTGGTACCATGTGGAAAGCAGCAGTGAATGCTCATATAAGACATTCTTTCACAGTAGGAAAAATTGCAAGCCCTGGAACTTTAGTATGTGTGGTCTTTGTGCAGTGCCCTTATTCCATATTTTGGCTGAAGAAGCACATCTTCAGAATTTTTTGCTCTCCAGTGCAGATTCGTGCTTTTATACAAAGACCTGTGCTCTCACCAGAGTAGTGAGGATTAGAAGACACAACAGCCTTATCTTACACCCACAGAATTAGTTTCTAACAAATGAAATTAGTATCTTGGTATGAATTTTGGGTAAGCTGGTTCACTTTTGACTCTCTGACTTGGGGCAGGACTGGGCACATTAGTATCAGTGAGCTCCTCTCTGCTTTGTCCTTCTATGTGGTCTTAGTTTGTGCTGAGCATTAATAATGAAGTCTTTACCTGTTGCTTTGTCCAGGCAGCATTTATACAAAACAGTAGTATGTGTATAGACTTAAAGATTGATTTTTTAGTTTCTAAAATAAAGGGGAGCAAAAGTATTTGAGTATGAGGCCTAATTTGGTGGGTATTTTTTTCCAAGTGTGCTGTATCTTAAGAATAGGAAATAAATAAAGGCAATTTGCTTTTGGTACAGCCAACAGGAGGTGGTGCCTAGAAGCCAGTCAGGACTGTACAGCTCAGTGCTCAGTCTGTAAGCACAGACATTAATGCCCACAGTCAATTCAGAGAGTAGCACTGCTCTTTGCAGTAGGTGTTGGGGATAGGGACTGTATGCACCTCTGCATTGGCCACGTGGTTATTCTCTTCTGTGAGTTGGAAGCTGCTTGTTGGGTTTGGGTTTTGCTTTCTCAAGTGCTTAGTGATGAAACTTGTTGTTTTTTGGGTTTTTTTTCTGTAGCGGTTTTGTCCAGAGGCAGACTCAAAAAATATGCTACAGTGTTTGAAACAGAACAAGAACAGTGAAGTGATGGATCCTAAATGCAAGCAGATGATTACCAAGCGCCAGATCACACAGAACACAGGTATCTTCTTCTGAAAGAAACTTCACTTGCTTGCCTGAGCTCTTCATGGCTGGAAGAATATCAGTTTTGTTTTATTCTTCGTGTTTTTCAGTGCACACTCTGATCTCAGTCAAGTTCTTGAGGGTCAGCATGTGTTTTTGAATCCTCTTTATTCCTGAAGCTCTTACTTCACAAGTTGAAATTCTGTTGTGAAGAAATACTTGTTTTCCCCCAAAATTAAGTTCCTTGGTGGTACAATGTCATCTAGGAAATTTCTGTCCAGTCTCTTTGGGAGTGTTGTGTTGTGCAGTCTGAAGAGATGTGTGCTCTAATGAAGTTCTGTCACCTTTCCCACTTAGATTACCGCTTAAATCCCGTGCTCAGGAAGGCGTGCAAAGCAGACATACCAAAATTCTGCCAAAATATCCTGAACAGGGCCAAGGATGATACAGAGTTGGAAGGGCAAGTCATCTCATGCCTGAAGTTGAAATATGCAGACCAGGTGAGTAGAGCTGGTGCATGCAAATGAGAAACTGTGCAGGATCGTGCTGAGCAGCAGTCATTGAACAACAGATCAAACTGAGGCTTGTGGTGTGTTCAGTGTTTGTGACAGGCTGTAGGTAAATGAGGTTTTTATGTTCCTGTACAAGTATTAGAGGATACAGAGGTTAAAATACAAGGTGATTGATTTATGAAAATGAAGGTCATTGAGTGAGTTAATGACTTTCTCCTCCTCACAGCGTCTCTCTCCTGACTGCGAGGACCAAATTCGAGTCATAATCCAGGAGTCAGCCCTTGATTATCGGCTGGATCCCCAGCTTCAGATGCACTGTTCTGATGAGGTAGGAGAAGTAGCTCCAGAGATACTTTTTCAGGATGAAAACTCCCTTCATGTAACAGCTTTTTGTTTCTTTAAACAAGAAGCTTCCCAATAATTAAATTTTAAAAAAATCCCTTTGAGCTGCCTCTAGCTGGTCAGATTCTCTGCTTGTGACTTTTGCCCAGTGTGCAAGAATTGCAGTTTCCTGTGCAGTGCTAATATGAAGTTAATTTTTTTATCTGGGATCTCATCAGTACTTGTGACTATGAAAGAATACTGCTTTCCTGTTGTCAAAAAAAATGTCTGTCAGTTCTCTGGTCTTGTCAACCTTAACTGGAATACATTCAGGTTTTTGAGTTTTCACTTTTGATAACAGAGTTGGTCATGCTTCAAGTGTTACTTATTTCATACTTTCACATTCTTTCTGTGCTGTTTTCCTCTCGGCCCTCCTCCTCAGTACAGCAATATTGACTTCTTGCTGCTGGGTTTAAAGGGTATACATATTGCATGAGCCAGGCTGCATTTGGCTCTAGAGATCTGGGGGGGAAGGAGTCTCATCATGTATTCTCTAGCTGTGCCCTGTGATGAACTAATGTATTGAGATATAAATGTGCTAAAAGGCAGAATGATTGTTGTGAACTACTTATGTTAAAACACCTTCTTCAAAATAGATTTCCAGCTTGTGTGCAGAAGAAGCAGCAGCTCAGGAGCAGACGGGGCAGGTGGAAGAATGTCTGAAAGTGAATCTGCTGAAAATAAAAACTGAAATGTGCAAGAAGGTAAAGGAAATAAATTGGATGTGCTCTAAAAGGCATCCCATCCCTGCAGAAGTCTGTGATTTTTCCAGATCACAGCCTAGGTCGTGTTGTAGCTATTATGAGGCCAGAGCTCTGAAGTTTCCCTACATATCTCAGTTCTGGCCTGCAGTGATTCGATTCTGTTTCAATTTGCCAGTCAAAATCGTGTCGACAGTGCCTCCTCTGCAATTCCAGGCTTGAATCCTTCCTTGACTGTGGTTGCCAAAGTTTCTTGTTGCTCATCTGTTTCCTGGTGCTGTCTCCATTGCAGGCTGCCTGGGTGCTGGGCATGCCCTTGGCACGGCTCTGTGAATCACCCGTGGCTGATTTCAGTGCTAACTGAAGGAACCCTGACATATTGTCTTTGTATTTTAGATTAATATGAGTATTTTAATGAACATAACTACTGTAAATGTTACAGACCAGGGCACTTATTTAAACCTAAACTATCATTCATAGCCTCATCCATGGACAGTGGTGGATTTTCTCATGATCCTGGATTTTAAAAGTTGGTACAGCTTTCAGAAATATTGAGCAGCATGAGTTTTGTTCTCTCTCCTTTTTCTGAGGTGTACTTGTAATTTCCTCCTCTCCAGGAAGTGCTCAACATGCTGAAGGAAAGCAAAGCAGATATATTTGTTGACCCAGTGCTCCACACAGCCTGTGCCCTCGACATCAAACACCACTGTGCTGCCATTCCACCGGGGAGAGGACGCCGTAAGTGCTTGTGCTGTACCTGTGTAACCTCTCAGTCCTGAAATACTTAACCTGCATTTTCTTGCCAGTGTGATCTTAAGTACAGGATATTTCCACCAATCATTTGTGGGCAATAGGATGGAACAGCAGCAGAAGTGGTAGATGGATGGGTATCAAGAAGTCCTTCCTTGTGTCCAAGGCAGGACTTATTTGTTCCTCAGTCCTGATATAAAATACCTTTGCAGCCTTATCTGCAGACTTAATGAGTATATTTCTGTGCCATCATTCATATGATTGCTGACAATAGTGTGTGATACCAGATCCATAAACCTTCTATAAAATCCCTCCTCAGTTAAATCCCATTGAAAATGAGCTCTTAATAAACATGGACTCATTTTTCAGTGAGGTTTATCTCCCACCTTGTATCAGCTTCACATAAGATACAGCTCCCAACCTTACTTATGACAATGTTCTATCAGACTGTATCAAAAGCTTTCCTAGAACTAAGCTGCTTTTCATAGAGCAGCAAGTTGGTTTCATTTCACAAGAGTCATTCTTACCTAATCCTCTTGATCCTTCTTTCTTTGTGTCAGTCTTTGTCCATGGTTGGCTTCTTTGTTTCAGTATCTAAAACTAAACTGAAGTACTTTGATTTAATTTCTTTCTTCTCTGCTTAAACATACCAGTTTTTTCTTTTCCAGCATTGCAGAGAGTAGGTAATCATGACTTGATTTTCTGAGTTCACATAGCAGGTAAAGGCTTTGAGACTTCATCAGCTGTTCCAGGTCCTCTGAGTTCAGCAAGTTCAGACTACTTGAAATGTAGTACAAATAAGTATTTCCTAACACTTTCTTTCCTGTTTGAGTCAAGCTCTTGCACTCTGTTACTGCTGTTATGTTAGCTACCACAGTATGTGTGGCTGTTTAAGGAAAGCTAGTGGGGAAAATAGTTCTGAACTTTCCCATCTTTCTGAGTTTATCTGGCATTAAAAATAGCAGCCAAGTATTTTCCTGATCATTATCTTTTGTGCTGGTTACTGAATGCCTTTTTGAAATTCTGGATATCCTTTGTTTATTCCTGCTTTGTCATAATTCTTTTGATGTGTGTTCTGATGTGTTTGCACTGAAGGTCTGCAGGAATCTGTAGCTTAGAGAGGGCTCTGCCTGCGAGTGCTTGAACTGACAATTGTGTATTAAAAGTCTGGAGTTAGCTTAAAGTTTGCTACCTGTTTGCTATGAACTAAATAACTCTTTGCTGCAAAGCAGAAAGCATCCAATTAGGGTTTAGTCAAGTATGGTAGCATGAGTATAAAATACAGAATTTGATGTCAGTGTCTCATATGAGCATATAAGAGCTCATGAGTTGGCCAGGCCGCTCCATAGGCACCAGAACACTGTGATCCCACTTCCTTTTCACAGGACTGTGTGAAAACTCAGGAAGTTAAACAGTTCAGAATATTTTGTTGATCAAAAGAAGCTCATAACGAGCCTAAGGAGATAAGACTGTGTTTTTTTCCCTGAGCTGAATTTGATCTTAGCTCTGTCTAAAGGGTAGTGGCATGGAATTTAGAGTGTACAACTCATTGAAGGTGCAAATTTAGCAGACTTCCTGAAATCTCATGTAAATCACATGAATTATATATTGGATATGTACTGTAATTTTTTTTTGGAAGTCAAAATTCCTTGCACCTCCAAATGCAATATTGCTCATGAATCTTGGTGACATTACCAGCCTCAGGGGTGCAGGGGTTTGTTTATATTCTGTTTGGAAAGCCCGTGTAACCATCAGCCTTCAGGAGAATGGAAGTGCCCCTTTCCACAGCACGTGGTTGGAAGCTGCTGTTTCTGTTTTGTAACACCATCTTCTGCACATTACAGAAATGTCATGCTTAATGGAAGCTCTGGAAGATAAGCGTGTGAGGTTGCAGCCTGAATGCAAGAAACGCCTTAATGATCGGATTGAAATGTGGAGCTATGCTGCAAAGGTGAATATTTATAAGATTTCCTTTTTTTTTTTTTTTTAATGCATTAGATCTCTGAGTTGCAAGCTCTTTATGGAAAAACTTCAACTGTAGTGAAATTTTTGTTTCTGAATGAAGTTCAGTGTTTTGACTTTGGTCTAGAAGAACTGAAAACAGGTCTTCTTTTTTGAATTTAGATCTTACTCTCTCCGTGTCTGGGATGCATCCCCAACAATGCAGAATTAAGCTGTCTTTTGTGCATGTAGGGCTTGGTCTCCTGTAGAGAAGGTTTGGGGCTATGAAATAGGAGTGGCAGAACTTCCTGTTATAAAGGTGCCTCCTGAGCAGCGATTCCTTCAGATGAATCATTGCAGGACCTGCTTGTTTCTGGTTCAGGCCAAGTCTGACGACAACAGGAGGAAAGAGCAGTACCAGAGACTAAAGCTGATAAATGCCACGGCTGAGGGCTGCATGGAAGGCACAGCTTGGCTTATTTATTCCCTTTTCACCTCCAGGTTGCCCCAGCAGAAGGCTTTTCTGACCTTGCCATGCAAGTTATGACCTCTCCATCCAAGAATTACATACTGTCTGTGATCACGGTTGGCATCTGTGTACTCTTCCTCATCGGCCTGATGTGTGGACGCATCACCAAGCGGGTGACAAGAGAGCTCAAGGACAGGTAGAGCCTGGATTTCCTGCTGAAGAAATGCCTGCCCAGTGCCCAGTTTTGTACAGCCCTCCTCTGTATAGTCTACCCACCCCCTCTTGTGAGAGGAGAATAAAAAAAAAAAAAAAAAAAATTAGAACAGCAGCAGGTGTTGGCTCAGTTTTCCCATCCTGGATCTCATCCACAGCATCTTCATCCTATGAAAGTTTGTGTGCAACATTGGCAGCCCAGCCAGCAGCTTTTGTTACCCCTTTGTTAGCAGACTCTCGTTTACCTGCCTGTAGACAAGTCTCTGTTGTACTGTTGGAACTGCCTTCACTCTCCAAATCAGACTGATATGACCTGCAGCTCAAGCAGTTTTTAAGTAAATTTTTAAAGACAGACATATATCTGCATACCGACTATATGATTTAGGTAATGGTTCATATTGAAATCTAGTCATCCTCTGTGGCTGGGTGAAATTGAGGCAGGAAATTAAAGGGTAAATTGCATCTTACACCACAGTTGGCCTTGTTTTGGACATCTTGCTCGTCTGTGTAAAGCATCTTCAGAGCATAGTCTTGGACAACCTAAGGACACCAGTCACTGGTGTCATCTCCTAGTGAATATCCTGCTTTTGTGACTGTGGATTTTTTTTGGCTGAAAAGATGTCCTCCCTTTCTTCCTCTGCCGCTCGCAAGATAGAATAAAATACTGACCAGGATCGAATACTCATGTGAGCTGTACAACTGTTTCAGTAGATTAAAGACACGGTGTAGACACGAGGCGTGAGACCGTCAGTAGTGAACGGTGCCACTGTCAGTGGGCAGGATCAGTGCCCTGATCAGTTACTCGGTCAACTTTTTTATTATGCAGTAAAATTCTAACCCTCCTTTTATTTTACCTCGCTGCTGCCAAGCTGTTCCCCTTCCAAATTAACTGTCTGTAGAGGGTGTTGACACACTGGCAGTGCCGTGCTCTGTCAGCGATGCAGAAAATGACTGAACGCTCAACGTGCTCTGTCTGTGTAACAATTACTTGTGGGTTATCACAGTGGTTTGTAACCACAATTTGGGTCTCAATGGTTTGAATGGCATAGTCTGAACCACGCTGAAGAGTCATTTTCGTTTCCACAACTACAATTGACAGTGATAGCAACTGGCGTTTCCTGGGATGTAGGACACAGGTGCCAGTCCAGAAGGCCAAGCAGGAGTGGATGGCAGGATGATAGTGTTGTGTGAAAGGCAGAAATGTCTGGATCTTTAAGGGAAGTAGCTTTCACATAGTTACCATCAACATGAGAGTGCAAAGGAGGTGTTTTAGAAAAGCTGCAACAGTAGCTGTGGCCTCTTCTTATGGTCGTCTTTGTTCCTCAAGTAAAAGGAGGTGTGGAGGTCACAAGACACATGCTTTGACCGAAACATGGAATGTGTTGCTGAAATCTAGAAGAGGCTGCACAAGAGTCCATGTCTACAGTAGGATATATTTTATTCACCTTTTAGATGTGCTCACCTGTGTGTGCCGCAGTAAAAACTTTATTTTCCCACTTAGCACACTGCTAGGCAAAACCTGACATTTCCAGTTCTCCTCATTGTTCTCTAGAAGAACAGTGGAGGTGGTTTTGGGACACTTTAAAGTGTGGACCAGCTGATTCTGATGATGCTGAATGTACAGAATAGCATATACAAAATACTGTGAGCATTTGCTGCAACTGAAGCTTTTTGCAAATGTACCTTCGTCCCGTTCTGAGGATGGGCAGCAAACTGTTAGTGGTATGGTTTTAGACTTACTATGCTAGTGAGTCTTTCACAAACACTCCTGGTTTTGTAGCAAAGTACTATGAACACAAGGAAGCAGCAGCAAAAGTCTGAGTGACGAAGATTCGGTGGGGAGTTAGTACATGGTAGGATTGCTGTTAAGTGGTTGGGTAGAACAGAACTTAAGCCTGAATTCCTTCTCTTGCCCCTCTTCCCTGGTACTAAGGGAGCTTGACAGGCCCTCTGTCAGCGTGAAGTGGAGCAGAAGAGGAACAGTTAATCGGGTCTCTTGAGGTAGCACAGGTGTATAAAACCACAAATGTTAGTTTGGCAATTAGAAGTGTTGTTGTTTCACTTGACTGAGCACTGAAATGACTGCTATAGAGATGGGTGTGTTCCCAGAGCTCCCGGCAAGGGAAGTGGGATCTAGGTGCAGCCTTGCTTGCTGGCACAAGTCCTGCTTCTACATAATGTCTATCAGGGCATAATTAAATTGCCATTGGAGGGCTTTTTTTAAACTGTTGTGACTTTTTGAGAAGGCATTTTGTAACCTGATTAGCTTGAGAAGCCTAATTAGTTGGTTTATTGTCTAGAAATAGCATCTTCCACTAAAGTCCAAAAGACATTGCAGTGAAAATTGTAGGTTTGTAGCCATAGTTCTGAATGTAAACTCTGTTCAGCTCTGAAGGTGACTTTCTTTACTTTCAGATATAAGGCTTTCTTGGTTTTTTGCTTTTTAATGTGGAGGAGGTTAAAGTGAGGGTACCTGGAGCGCTGCATTAGGAGTCTGTGCTCTGTGGTGGTGTTTCTGCCTGTGTCTGTGGTTGGTGGTGTTTCTGCCTGTGTCAGCAGACTAACCTTGGAGTTTGGCTTCAGTGTGAGTGCGCTGGGAGGTGTTAGAGGTATGTGGCTGGAGGCCCTTGGAAACAAAGGTAGGATGCTAAATAAACCCTTTGTCACTGTAAAGACGCAGACCCACCTTTTAAAAGGTGGGCACTGTCAAAGGGTCCTGACCATTTTATCATTTGAACATATTATCTTTTCATGTTTTAGAAAGGGGTCTCCTACTACTGCTAATGACCAAATTTGCTTTTTTCTTGACTAAAAATCTAGCAGTCCCAGTCTTGAAACATTCTCGTCCTTTTCACGCATACCTAAAAATCCAGAGGTTTTGCAAGCACAGAAACCCACAGGAGTGCTCTTCCAGAAATAACCTGGTTGTGCTGTTGCCAAACACATTATCTTGCCTGCAGGTAACCATTTTCCACTGCAGGGAAAGAAAGAATCAAAGAAGCACAGAAGGATGGGGTTGGAAGGGACTTAAAGCTCATTTCATTCCAACCCCCTGCCACAAACAGGGACACCTTCCACACCAGACCAGGTTACCCAGAGCCACGTCCAGCCCACAACCTCTCTGGGCAATCTGTGCCAGTGCCTCACCGCCCTTACAGGAAGGTGTGAGAAATGGTTGTAGGAAACACTGCTGTTGCCTTGAACTTGAGAAAGCCTTTGTAACTTCTCTGGAGTAACAGAGAATGTTAGAAATAGCTGCAGTCAGCCAAAAGAAGCGTGTTAGGGTGGGAAAACCTGGAGTGCTCCTTCCTCTTCATGACCCTCACTTCTCACTGGAGGAGTCTGCCTTCCGCTGAATGCGGTTTAGGAGATGGTTGGTTGTTAGGTTTTTTTTTCTCATCATCATCATGAAACCTTCTCTTGGAGAGCTTTTTCTAGACTTGGTGATGCTGTTGCTCAGGGTGTGGATGGAAGGGCTGGATGACTGGGATCTAGCAAGGCATGCACCTCTCCATTTGCTCCTAGTACTGCAAGGGTTAACAAACTGCATTTCCTAAATGACAGCAAATGCACATGTCAGGAACTGTGCGTGATATTCTCCTCATTACTTCACTCCTGCTAGCCTCTTACTCTTTATTCTTGTTCATAGTAATAAGGTTATTTATTGTTTACCTAACCCTTAACTAATCAGGTCCTTTGGTGAGTTTCAACTTGGGATTCTCCTGCCTTGCTTTTGTCACCAGGCTGCTGGAGTAACTCACCTGGATAGGAACAAAACTTGTGGTACTTGAAGTACTGTCCAGCAGGTTGGGATGAGTATCTGTATGTCTGTGTCACTGTAAAGGGCTGGAAAGGCCCTAGTGAAGGTCAAATAATTCTGTAGCAAAATGTTAGCATTTCCTCCAGAGTCTGATGCTTAAATCCAGGGGATATGATCAGTCTTGCTCTGAAAGAATCCACAGTAAGCTCACTGTATGAAAAATAATGGAGAGGTGAATGTCTCAAGTTCAGAAACTAACTGCAGGTAGGTACAGAGGGAAGAAATGCAACAAGTCAGAGGGATCACTCATTGTAGAGGAATTGTGTTCAATTTGGATGGCAACTTCTGTTAAAACACAAGCTTTTTATTTAGTCAAAGAAGATTGTAGAGTTGTTTATTTTTACTTTATCAGTCTTGTTCGGGGAAAAAAAAAAGAAGGTAGTTTTGAGGTGTATGTGAGTGTACAAGTATGGTATGAAACCAGAATATTTCATCTAGCACTTCTGTCCCTATTTGAAGTACAGCTCTGTGGACTCAGCTGTAGTGTGGGTTTGTGTAAGAGCACGTAGTTAATTCTGGGGCTCAGGTCCTCCAGGCAGTTCCCAGGTGCTCATGTTTGCACAGTCTCCCCATTTGGGAGCCAAACGTGCCATTTTGCTTCCACAGATCAGTCACAGTTAGAGGGGACCCAAATCACACGTGACAGAATTCAGCTGGCACCACTGTTTGTGCTGTGCTGGTGGAATTCTGTATCCACTCCATTCAGTTCCTGAATGCTGCCTGTATGGGACAGGGAGGAGTAACATCACTGCTCTTCACTGGTCAGAGGCAGATTTCCTCCTTCCACAACACCCAAATTTGATTCTATAGCTGACTGAATTCACCCTTCTGGGGTGAATTGCTGGAAATCTCACACCACTGTCCCCTCTGTTGACTGAGTTAGAGGTGTTGGCGTAGCTCTCGCCTTGGGAAATACTGATGTAGGAGAAAAGGGAAAGGTGTGACTGCGGCCCGTGGACACTGGTGCCGAGTGGAGGATCAGGAGCTGTACCGTGTGTGTTGGACTGGGCACGTGCCGGTGTTGGGGGTGAGGGGCACCCCGACACCCTCAGTGTACAAAGCAGACCCAGCGGATTCCT